ATTTTACATTTGATTTGCGTGAAATTCACAAGCTGAAGCTGAAGGACATTCCTAGAAGTTCTAACTCCTGCTTCAAGAGGCCTTGCAGTCATGCCTGGACCTTTTCCACAACATGCAGTTTCTACACATACCTACGAGATTTCAGTAACTTCCGTTTTTTTTTTTTTAAGGAAAGTGCTGAATTTTGAAGAAGCTGAAAAAGTCTTTCTCCAGCTTTAGGAAACTGCCACTGAGGAGGGCTGACAGTTCATGGGTTTCTGTTTTGGGGGCATTTTGGTTGGGCTTTTATTTTTGGTTGGTTGGGGGTTTTTTTTTGGGCTGACAGTTCATGGGTTGCTGTTGTTTGGTTGTTTATTGTGGGGTTTTTTTTTTTGGGGGGGGGGGTTTGGTTTTTTGTTTGTTTTAAATTTTTCCACGAAGCTAACACAGAACTTATTTCTTGTAACACAAGCACACTTGCTTATTTAAAGACACGGGTATTACTGGTTAACCAAGTTTGCAGTAACAAGAACTCAGGATGAAAAAGAGTAGAAGAGGGAAAAGGCTGGAGATTCCCACCTTCATGTAAATCAGCTCATGCAACACTGTTTGTGATAACTTGAATAGTACCAAGCACTTATGTCAAGTATAATCCCAATAGGTGGTGTGGAAAGACAAATGAACATGCCATCAGAAATGTATGAGAAACTGAAAGCCACAGAAGGCAAATTAAGTAGAAGATCTAAGAGGGTACTAAAGAAAGAAAAGTCTAGAGCAGCTTGCTACCTCCTGTTGTCCTCAGTTCAGGAAGCTACAGAACATTTGGAGTCTTTCAGAAAGAAGGAAAAATTCTTTCTGCACAGGTAATTATATTGGAAAACCATCTGTTAGAAGAAATTACTCAAGTCTAAGGTTAAGAATACTCAGTTACTCTGATAAGCAAAAATGCTGAAAACTAGGGTTTTACATACGCAGCTGATCTCTAAATACATAAAGTAGAGATGCATCTCAGGGCAGGACAACTTACACAAGAGGGATTTCTCATGTTTCACCTTGACCATCAGATGCCAGTCACTCCTAAAGGAGACAGGATGCTGGGGCAGGTGGATGGGCAGCACTGCTTGACGATCCAGCTGCAGGCTGACAGTGCTGGAGCAGCTGCAGACGTCCTATGCTGCTTTTCCCAGCGCTGCGTTCCTCCTGCAGAACCGATCCCGCCGCACTGCTGGAGATGCCAGAGTCTACGTTGCACAGGCAGTTTCCACTCTTCCTCCAGGAACTTAAAAAGTTTCAAAACACGTCTGGAAAGCTGAAAGATTTCATGCTTGCTCTCCAAGAGTAAATTACACTTTCATGTACATGGTTTTCATAATTTGAAATAATAGCTTGGGTGAGGGAAAAGGGAAAACTTGCAAAGGCAAATGTCTTTTTATTTTGAATGAACATATAAGGCACTGTGAAATACAACCAGACTGTAAAAAAATGCCTAAACGTGATCATCTGGATAGGAAAGCACCAATCTTTCAGAAGCTCTGCACGTGCTCAGTAAGCTGGATGAAGACATCCAGCACATAAACCAGCAATTCCAGTTTTACTTCTGGCCTCTCATAAACTCTACTTCAGATAATGAAGGCATAATATTCTGCTGCCAAAAAGAAAAGAGCAGAAAGAATTCCTTAGCTACAGATGACTTCTACATATTTTATTACTTTTTTTTTTTTTTCCTTCAGCTTTAGGTCATCAGGTAATTTTGTATTCACAGAAGCTGACTTAAAGCCTGCAGAACTTTTTGAAAGCATTGCATCCACAGACGTTATTAACAGAGGAAAGCATTTTCCTAAATATTACTTTCTCCACCCAGAGGATGATCTAACATGAAATAATTTGTTAATTTTTAAAACATATTTCAAACAATATGAGAATAACATATCCTATGGTTAGCAGATTACCAAGATGGCTAATTATCACTGACTCTTTCTCATATTTGAGGATTCTTATGCCAATAAGAACACTCAATTCAAGAATCCCCCAAGGCCTCAGTGTCTTGCAAGTGGAAAAGTTCTACTCACATTGACAAAAGAAATATTATACTGCTTTCTAAACAAACAGTACTTCCTTCCAACACTCTTGACCTTTGTAAAATTGACACTTTTAATGGTAGCATGATTAAGAGTGTAATTGGAGATCTGCATTTGATGATGCCTCTAGGGCAGAGTTCTCTTAACATCTGAAAAAAATCAAATAAAAGCCTCAAACGTAGCTTTAAGTAAATATAAACCAGAAAATCATAAAGGTAAACAGGTGCAAGAAAATGAAATTTAAATACTTTCTCGTTTTTAAAAAAAATTTAATAGGTTGTGAAATACTTCCAGGAATTCTGCCACCTCCCCTATTTATCTTCTGTAGAAGCATGCACAGACTAAAATCCTGAGCATGACTGGTACTCCTAATTAGGCAGCTCCTTTTGCTACGGTCTGCCAAAGGAAAGTAAGAAGAAACTCTGTGTAATATTTATTGTTTCCTAGTTATCAAAACTGTAAAAGAAAAGCTATCAAAAGCCCTGCAAGTGGATTGAAGCATAAAATGAAGATCTATTACGTAGTTATTTGAATTGTCATTGTTGTTGCAATATCTTTTACACGAATACTAATCATGTGAGAATTCTCCTGATACACTCCAAAAAGTAGGAATGCCTTTGGATTTTTCCATGGACAGGAACCATCAGTATCTTGTGAGGAAAAATACAATGTTCTCAAAAGAGACTTCAATTCCAGCTATTTGCAGAAGTTGTAACCACACTTTCTTGGATTCCTGAATAGGAACATAACATCAGTTTAAGTAAAGACATGCAAGACTGCTAGAAATGGTTTTCTTTTTTTTTAATTCTAGAGGCTGAGAGGTAAAAAAAAATGCATCAATAAATCATTACAGTTTACCCATTTCCTTTAAAATTCCCAACACAAATATACCAAAGATCCTGGTATGCTAACAATCAGAAGTATTTGTGATTCTAATTATATTCTAACTCCTTTATGAAAATATGAGATGCAATAGGGCATGTAAACCCTCCCACGTTCCTTTAGAACTGAATAAACTACCAGAAAATATTATATAAAAATTTAACATGTATCAAAATATGAAAAACTGCTTTTAAACAAAACACAATTTAAGTAATTTTTACATAGTAACAGACACATATCTGGGGTATTGCATAAATTCACTGCCAGCTAAGCCTCAGACCTCCTCACTCCCCCCACTGGCTGCTGAATTTCTGCAGGGTTACACTCTGCCCGCAGAGACAAATACAGTCCAGAACTTCCAACTGCAGAAATCAGTGACTGAGATTTTAATTAGTTCCTCATTTATCCACTTGTGTCTCATACCTTGAAACTTCATCATAAAATTCTTAAAATCCACCTGGTGTGCAAAAACTTGACTCCACATTTAAAATTACTGAAGAGCTCTTGATTCTCAGGATTGCTAACAACTGATTTTGGCTTTTTACCAGCCATGACAAAACTATCTTTTCAGTATCTAACACAATTTACAGAAAGCCAAAGCAAAATAAAATTACTTATCCTAGTCACCTTTCCTTCACTGCCATGAGAAGTGCTACATCAAGATTAATAAATAGGTTTATTTCTAATAAGCCTTTGAACAAAATAAAGAATTGAGTTCAATAACACTTCTCAGGGAGCTGCATCACATTTTAAGATCTTCACGGGGTCTAATTTCTCCCACAAGAACTTCCATACTGCTTCCTTGGTAAAAGACATACAAGACATTGCATGTAGAACAAAGACATGAAAGGGATCCCCACTGTCAGTATTTAAAATACCGAACACTTGAACTAATCACCCAGAGACTTACTTAGCTGGGGCTGGGAAACATCTTTCCTGGGAAATCTTAAATTTCTAATGAAACAGACATACTTTATATTATACACTGTGGGGAAAAGTTCAATTCCTAGAATGGCTAGAGAGCTACTTTGGGCATTCAGCACTTTATTTAAGCAGATACAAAACTATGTCTTTTATGTCTTCTCCCAAACCTTATTTAAGTAGGCAACATGCTTGTTGAGCTTCACAGTACTTCCCTTGGTGGGATTAATCTTCAGTCTGTATCTTCTGCTACAGTGGCGTGATCCAAGCCATTTTAAGAGAACTGTCTTTTAGATCACAGAATGCTTAGGGTTGGAAGGGACTAGGGCTTATCTGGTCTCACAGCCCTGCTCAAGCAGGGTCACCCCAAGACACATTGCACAGGATTGTATCCACATGGCTTTTGAATTATCTCCAGTGAGGGAGATTCCACAACTGCTCTGCGCAATCTATTCCAGGGCTCAGTCACCTGCACAGTAAAAAAGTTCTTCCTCATGCTCAGGTGGAAATTTCTGTGCCTTGGTCTCTGCCTGTGGCCTCTTGTCCTGTTGCTGGGCATCACTGAGCAGAGCCTGGCTCCATCCCCTTGACACCCTCCATTCAGATGCTTATAAACACTGAGTTCCCTTCTGTGTTGTCTCTTCTCGAGGCTGAACAGACCCAGCTCCCTCAGCCTTTCCTTCTGAGAGATGCTCCAGTCCCCTCATCGCCCTTGTGGCCTCTGCTGGACCCACCCCAGGAGCTCCACGTCCCTCTTGTGCTGAGGAGCCCAGAACTGGACACAGCACTCCAGATGTGCCTCACCAGGGCTGAGCAGAGGGGCAGGATCACATCCCTCAACCTGCTGGCAATGCTCTTCCCAGTGCACCCCAGGATGCCAATGGCCTTCTTGGCCACAAGGACACTGCTGGCTCATGGAAGGCTTGTTCTCCACCAGGACACCCAGATCCTTCTCAGAGAGATACTGTTGCCATGCTTACAGACACTCTATTGATCAAAAAACTAAAATCAGTACACTGAATCCTGAGATGTTTCAAACTCAAGGTATGTCCATGAGACTGTCTTTTCAAAATTTAAACCAAAGATCAGTCAGAATGGAGCACTGTGCACAATAATTAACAAAATAAACTACATTCTCTGTGCTGTGTAATAATTTTACTGAACAAATAGCTCTAAAGATGTAGTTTTCATAATTTTTATATACAAAAACTATACTAGAAGAATAAAGCTTTAAGAAATGATTTTACAGAATGTGTTGCAATTAATCATGGCATAACATGTTCCCAGATATCAACATCAAACTCACAAATCAGAAGCATCTTCATAGAGCATTTGAAATGTTAACATGCTTTTCTCATCTTCACAACTACAAATTATTTTTAAGATGCCCCACTCTTCAGCAGCACTTAGCTTTCACCCAATGCACATTACTTTACAAACAAGCACTGAAATCCTGAAGGTCTAATTTTGGGACAACATTCAGCATTGCCTCAGATGTTTATTACATGATAAATTAATTTACTAATGGAAAGTTTCTCTTATGTAATTCTTTGGGTAACTTAAACACATTTAGTTAAGGACAGCACACAAATATAAGGTATCTTCTCCAAACAATGAGTTTGTGCTAACATGCAGAGTAACACTACTGGCGCAATTTAACTGTTGTAGATTTTAAAGCATTTGCAAACCATAGCTAGTACATTTTCTCCTTGAATATTTGATTCGGGGGCTATAGCAGTTAAAATACAATGTTAGCATTTTCAAGGCTACATTAAATTAAAATGTAATCATACTAATAATAATTTACTTTTTTTGTACCTAATTATTCCATTGTAGTCACATTTCATTAAAGCAAACATATAAACAAAGTTCAGGAAACTAAGTATGATTGTGCTTTATGGATTAATTCTAATGTGTCTCTAAAAAAAGGCCAAAGAAAACCATCCCAACCTAACCAAACTGAAAAACACCTGTCATTAATCTATCAAAAAGCCCAAACCCTTAAGTTACCAAAACATTAGCAAGAATAAAGTTTCTGAAATATGCAAGTGTGATTACATTTTGAATTTTGTCATTTTAAAGCCTTTACTTTCACTGATATAATGTAATTAATTTTGACATCCCTTCTTGTTTTTCTTTAGATCACAGCAGAATTCAAATCTTCAAGTGTGAGTGATTACCCACGCTTACTCTAAATGGCAGACAACACAAGTTACTGAACACAAGAAACCTGGACCAAGACTACAGTAGTTATAAAATGCAAAACAAGGTTAACAGATATGCCTTCTTTAGGGTAATACATAAGAAGGGGTTTAGGAACTTTGTATCAAAACTTATTTCAGATTATGTGGTGTGCTCTTCTCCCTTCCACAGGTCTGTGAAATAAGGTGGTAAACATGTTTTCTTCAATATTCAGTTTGGTAAGAGTTTAGCTGGAAAATGATTATAGTTGTATAAATATAAAACCACATGGCAAAGCAAAATATTTTAATTAGTAAGCCAATCATAAATAAATTCACCTAAAATTAACAGAAGCAGCAGCTATATTCCTTCTACATTGATAATTTTATCATGTTTTAATAGTCAACTTCATTATCTAGCCTGGGACAAAACAATTCATCATCATCGAGCATTCAACAATTCTGCACAATGAGCTAGGTCTTTTTTTAGTTACATTTTTTACATTTTCTTTACAAATGTAATACCTATGTACATTATATATTTTATTTCTACAATTGATTTATTTTACTGAAACTCTACAACTTCCACAGGGAATTTGCCGAAGTCTTTAGCAAGTATGAACCATTCCTTTTAAAAAGAAATTCATATAAACAACCAACATACATCACTGCCCTTTTGACATCTCTGTTAAGGATTTGGATCTGGAAGGGCTACTATAACAAATGTAAGAAAAAAGGCTTTACCTAATTGTACATTTTGTTAAGAAATATCATCCCACATAGCTACATAATTCACCAGCTTGCAACAAACAGAGCACCATACCGCTGCACAACTGGAAATGTGTACAAACCAATTTTAAAGTTTACTAGTGAAACAGCTTCATCACTTGTAGCACTTTTAGACTGAAGGTAATCTGCAAAATTCTTTTGGAAATGTATACTCCTTTAGCTGTAAAGCTTCCAAAACAGTGCTGGCCACTGTATATTGTGAAGGACAAGCATCCACTTCTGTAACTTCCCATATGGTTCTCTTGGCCCATGCTTCTGTCTGAAGTCAGACTCTTTCCTCTACCTATTCCTTGGTCACTTACAAATCTGCTGTTGAATATTAAGTAGGAATTCATAATATGAGAAAGCTGCTTCTGTCCGATCCTCAATTAAATGCTGAAAAAAATCTGTTTTGGCAGGGTTCTCATCTCTGAAAAGAAGAAGAGAAGGTATTAAGCAAAATCAAACTTTGAGAAAAAAAATCCACTGAAAATTCAGAGGGATAAGTTCTAATAAATTGCTTACTGTCATTTGGAATATAAATTCCGTCCAAAGAAACTAAAATTGCAAGTAATCCAAAGTCTAGGAAAAAACTTGAAGTTTGTAATACACTATCAAACAACAGCATCTTTTTAAGTATATAAAATGGTAGAAAAGCAGGTGAAATACAGCACTTAAAATATCTTGCAGAAACACAAAAAAGGAAATGTAAAAATTATTTTGTTTTTGAAGCTAACAAATATGCTGGTGGCAATGAAACAATGCAAAAATTACATCTCTGTTTACATGTAATCTCAATCCTCTCCCCAGACTGTCTTACTTGGCAACAGAATAGAGAAGGTAACATGTTAACGACCTAGTATCCACAATTACTGCCCCCATAAAAATTTGCTGGGACACAGTCCTCTGTTCCGGTGTTGTGCAGCATGCAGCAAAGCTCTCCAACTTATTAATGTCTCTCAGAAATTCCTGCAGCTCAAGCAGCAGCCACAATGCCAACAGCTCGAGACCTTCAGTGATATATTTCAGTATCATTTCACTGAGCAAGTCCTCATACTCTCTAAGAAGTGATCTCCCGCCCAGTTCAGTAAAACAAGTACTCTACAAGTGAAATGTAATCTAAACTATAAACATTTTATAGACTTTAAACCTCCTTAAGCAAGTTATAGCTTGAAAAGGCTTCGGAATTTGGCTCATCTATCAGCTGCTGTCCTGTAGATCTCCGTAATAAACGTATACAACTATCAAATCATCTACAGATTACTAACTGTACTTGAATCCATTTATATATATAATGAAATTATAAAAGCTATACCAGAAACTAACCTGGTTAACACCACTGATCATAAGGATTTAGAATATTCCTAATAAATATATGCAACTAATTCCTACCAACAAAACTATGAGCAACTAACTGAATTTGCACTAGTTTCAAAGAAAACCTTTGTCACCAGACAGTTTTATAAACAGCACTTTATCAGTAGGGAAGGTGATGTTATTTAGTTTTTTCCAAGACAGATATACTCACTTTTCATCAGTCTTAATTAGAAATTGTAAATACAAGTTGCTAGTAAGAACTCAGTGCATAACAGAAATACTTACTTTATTACTTGAAGAACTGGACTTAAAGGTCTACTATCTCTAAGCCAAGATATAAAAGATCGTGTCCTTTCTGACGAAGGTGCATCCACCTCAGGAAGCTGTGTCTGGTTGAAGGTAATTGAAAGAAACCGTCACCTTTATTATTGAAACTATTTTAAAAAAACAGATCCTGAAAGTTGTAACATAACTCAAGCCGCAATCTCTTTAAGAAATTACCAACCATTGATTTACATACACAGACGTTTTTCTTCAGCTTAAGGACAATACTTCATAATATCTGTGGTGCACTGCTATCTAGGAAGGAGTACATCTTTAACTTAAACTGTGGTTTTTAAATGCAAAAGATTTTAGACAGCAAAGTCATCTTTTGAAATGCTGCTTTTGCAGTTCTTGCCTGTATCTTTTTGTCAGTAAAGTTTCTACATGTTGCACTTTGCACCGCTGAAGAAACAAGAAGTAAAATATGAATTTTATGTAAATATCAATGGAAAGATGCGACTGGACTATTTGGTTAGAGAATAAGCTGAAAAAATTAAACTTAAAAGGGTTGAGCAATTCACTGAGCTAAATGTATCACCTCTTCAGCCAATATGATGCTTAAAGACAATTAACATGACACAAAGGAATTTATTTCAGTTAAAGCAGTTCCACTGCTACCTTTGTAGAATGAGGGCCTAACTTGAGGGCAGAGATAACTTTATGCAAGTTTTTGTCACATTTTCATTATAATAGATGCTATATAACCATAAAAAAATTATCATCCTCCCTTTATCTAAGTTCCTCCATCTAATACCACCAGCTGGTCATAGAGGAACAATTCTAAATTGCTAATATATGCAAAATAGAAAACTCTGAACAAGCAGTCCAGTTTTATAGTAGTGTTATAGCTTATCACTCTTAAACTATTTTTGTCACTTTCCTCCTTTATACGATGCACCTGTAAGCAGAAAATATCTACCTATGTGTTTCTATGCTATCATTTTCTGGTACTATTTGGATATAACCATTTGATTCTGAACTTTTTCTAGAGTTCTAAAGGTCCATCCTTACCTGCCAATTGCTGATATTATGGAATCACCACTCACTGAATAGGAGACTTCTCTTTAATTGCCGCTATGTTTCACACACTAGACTATAGCTACAGGTTGTAACATAAAACCCCTCCACCAAAACACAAATCCAAGAGTCTCTGAAGTTCTAACACCTGAAAGTTTCTCTTTTTAACATTGAACCAAGGTTTGGAAGCTGAGTAAAACTTAACTCTTACCATTACTTACAGGCCTATTGTGTCATACCACAGACTTGGTATCTTACACCAGGTTCACAGAACACAAAGCTTCTGAAAACTATGTTATCAATGAAGTAACTCGAATCTTAATCCTTTTGTATTCATACTGTGAAATTACTTCCTATTCTTGTGAATGCACATGTACTTCCATTAAAATAATAAAAGCAGTTATGTTATAGAGTAACTGTATGGCATTTCATGAATGATGAAAATTACATGTTTACATTCTCTCCTTGAAAACATCTGACAACTTCTGCCTGGCTCCTATGAAGCTGACAAGAGGTTAGAGGTACCTAACTATGAAAGAACCCAACCTAACTCATAGTTAAATAATTAAAAACTGAATGCAGAAATAAATAGATAAAATGCACATTCCAAGTGTAAGCAGTATACAGCTCAGCTCATTAAAATGCCTACCATTTTCTGTGGCACTGACGCATAATTTGGGTATCCAAGAACATCTTTTATGAAGTTGTTATCACAGTTTTTTCCAATCCAAAGGTAAAAAGTCTGTAAGATGCCAGAATCAATTTTAGAAAAGGCCCTGCATACATTTTAGACAAACAGGCAAGTGTGATGCAATAGGAATAATACCAGGATAGTAACTTCCATGCAAATTAATCACTTGAGTGTTCCAGTTGCAATTCATATATACGTGTCTATATTCATAAGTAAGTGTGTAAATAATCAGTACATTGGTAACACTTAGAGTAAGGTCATTAAATATTAAAAAAAATAGGTAGAATTCAAATACTGAAAGAATGAAGTTGCAGGACACCTTTATAATGTAATAGTTAATGCAGTAACTTCCCATACTACCTCCTTAAATTAAACTCCGCAAATTATTTGAAGTCATACCATTCTGTTTGTTACTGCACACTGGCTTCCCAATCTAAACAAGTCGTAGCAAAGCACCAATTATCAAAGCTTATTGCAGTAATTATTTCAGAGGTCTGGAGACAGAAGCTAGTTTTATATTTACACTCAGCCCAGAAGTGATTCAAGGTTAAAAGCCCCTTCTAGACTGCCATTGGAGTAGCATAATGCTTTATCCAATTGAGCGTGTTTTAGTGCAATTTCTACAAATACCTGAAATTGTATCTACATATTTTGTCCAGTCTCCAATTCCCTCTCACTTGCAACTCTTATATAACCCAGGCCACAAATCATATACCCACTCTTTGTGCATAACTGAGAATGTTCCTGCATCAAGTGTTTTGTTAAATCCTCTAGTACGTGCAATTAAATAGCCATTAAAAGAAATTCTGGAAAATAAAAATACATTAATTCAATTACAAACATCTTGATGTGAACTCTTGGTATATTTTGACCAGTATTGCATGAAAAAAATCAACCTCTATAGCCTCAGAGATAAATACAGACTCAGATCAAAATATAAAAGTTTTTCACTGGAACACAGATTACTGTAGGGTTACGTGGAATGCTGATTCACAACACTGTTATTGCTGAGAGCTGACTGGTTTTAATAACACAGTAGGCACTGCTTTTTTGTTTTCTTTTGCCCCTTAGGAAATTTAAAAAAAAATTTAACTTACTGAACCACAATCCATAAGAAAAGCTCCTTCTCTTGTCAACTTCTCTGCAGACAACTTCTGAAGAGGCGGCTGAGGAACAACTCTGTCATTTACATGTATTGTACTCTGCAACAAAAACCCAATACCCAGTAACATTAGAATTTTACCTTTAAAGGTTAAACAAAACAGGAAAAACACCGATAATCTCTAGTAAAATTCTGAGGATTCTCATATAACAAAATACTATGTTAAGCCAAAAATGATTATGCACATCAAACAGTTCTAGAATGTTACTTACTCTAAGGGCCACTTTAATACCTAAAACATAAAAATGCAAATTAAAGATGCCTATGTAGCATTTTTGATCCTACAGATGTCAAAATTTCAAAATAATTACTACTGTTGACTTAAGTTTCCTACAAAAAAACCTCTTTTTTCCACTGCATTCAATTTCACTAGAAATGTTGCAAGAGCAGAAAACCATGAAATTCTACTCTCTACAAGGAAGGGTTCTGTTTATTATTGCATTCAAGTAACAGGAAGTCCCCTGATTTAAGATTCTGCCTGAAGTGATCCTTGGGTTTGTCCACAGAGCCCTATGACTGATCTGATTAAAAAATCTGGCTGTTTGCACTAACATTATTAAAATACAGCCTGCCTTTCTCCCCAGAAATAAACAAACAAAAACAATGATAAAAAAACTCTATGAACACAACCCCCCAGTATGTTTAGATTAAAGTTGCTTCCTCCTCCAATACAAAAACTGGCCAGATATCTCTGAAGCATTCTGCAAATAATATAGGGAAAAACACTCTACTGACTAAGCACATGCCCATGTAGTATAAGATTATTTAAAAAAAAACACTATTTAAAAAATTTCGTATGATAATGTCCTAGATTAACAGCTTTTGGGGATTTAGACATAGTTATGAAAATCAAGCTACTGAATTCCACTTGGGGAAGTTCCAGGCTTTACTCAATACTCTCAAGAATCAAGTGTTAAAAGAAAACTATTTTAGTATTTAAAAAATATTTTAAAATTTAAATTTAAATTAAAAATTTAAATTAGGTTTTTGAAGGGTTTTTTTAATTTAAATTTTACAGAATATTTTAAAGAAACAAGACATTGAAGAGCAGCCTTTGTCACAAATACTTTAAACTGAAGTAGTACTAAATAGCAGATTGGCATTCTGTTATGATTTAATATCTGGTTTGTCAATTAATTTCAATAGGTAAAATAAGCCCTATTTTTGTATTATTGTATTTCAAATAATTGATCTCAAAGCCTTTGCTAATAAAACTGGATCTCCTAAAGACAGTTATTTCTTTACAGCACAAGCACACAGTGTTACAATTTAAGTGCCACAAAAAGAACTTCACAAGGACAGCTCAAGTTGGCGTAGGGGTGGAGTATAAAAAACTAACTCCATTGAAGAACACTGAGTTTAGACTCGTCTATTTGACTTTATGAAACACCTTAAAAGAAACTTTAAGACTACAAATAGCTCAGAGGTTGTGCTGAGCAACACAGTACCACTGCCAGAGAAGCTATTCAGTTTACCATATAATCTTGTATCACTTAGAAACAAACTCCTATATATACTTTTCCAAAACTAGGGACTAAAAAACTCATAAAAGCTTACTTATAAAAGCCCTTATTTTTGCCATTATAACTAACTTTGACCTTAAAAAAAATCCCATCTTGCTTCTTACTGTTAAAAAAATTAAACCATTTCCTAGGCTATGTCTGTAGTAGATGAAATAATAAAACCTTTTGTACATGAAGTACTTTCTCAGTCTGATCACAACTATCTAGAAGTAAAGCTCTATTTTATTTACTTCAGTCTGAGAAACCACTAGAAGGCTGTTATTGCAGGCAAAAACTGTATGTGATTTCTGTATATAAAACCTTGAATCATCCATCAGATTTACTACACCGAATTACCACAGACAGTTCTAAATAATAAAAACACACTGAAAATGTTCCAAATACATTCCAATTTTCTTTGCTTTCTTTGTATGATAAAAAATTATGGCATTACTGTGGTCATCGAAACAAGATGAAGTAAAACCACAGTTCTGCTCATACCACACTACGGTACTTGCAACTCAAAACTTGAAAATAATGCTTTTCTGTATTTTTTTAACTTCGGGGAAATGCTCCATTTGTATTACAATAACAACATAAAATTACTGCAGCACAGTACCAAATTTAATGGGCCATTAAAAGTAAGAAATGCTATAACCAGGCTTCATACATTACCTCATCAGTCAACTTGTCTATTCTGTACAAGTTGGGATGTATCATCTTCATCAAATGAACAAGAGGCTGGCTCTTCATCTGGCACATTGCATAGACACGATCATCCAAGCGTGTACTTGTGCCTGTTCTGAAGGCTTTCTGCAAGAGAACATTACTACTCAAACAAATCCTGTACTTTATGTCACATGTAAGAGTGCATTTCAGACATTTCAAAGTGTCAAGCAAAGGCGGCAAAGCTTTTGTAAAGGAATGTATCTTATTGGTGGAATCTTAATAATAGAGCTTGAGCAAAATGTTTTAAAACATAATCCAGCTCCTCCTCACTGAGAAAGAACAATAAATTTCTCCCTCAGTTTGTCTAAAATTTGCACACAACTCGGCCAGAATCTCTCATTTTTTTTTCTTGACAAATGACACTGGCCTGTGAAACTCACCAGTGCAAGCTAGCACAGGAAAGATACAAGACAAGCAGAGTTCAGGCAAGGTACATATGTGCACAAGATTAACTCTGAATTTATAGTAGTAAAAATTCAATGTTAAGGAAAAATTTTGGAAAGGAAACATACTTCATGTTTTATACAAGAGACTAGACTCTTACAGGATAAAATTTATTTTTTAACTCTCTCCTAGTGAATTTTTCAGATCTCCTTTAGAAACAACTGCTACACAATTGCTGTGAGAAGCAACACAATGAAGTAAACCTCATCTTCTAACTCAATGAAGAATGTTCCTATAATCAAAGTTCATGTTCACTTCTACAACAAAGCTCAGGACGTCACTCATTCTTGGCTGCCACAAGCATTTTAATTCTGGTTTCTCTATATCCCACATTTTATTATTGTTAAGAAAGACAATAAAAATTCCAAACCTAAACAACTTTTCCCAGTCACTCTTATTTCTGTTTTTTACACAACTTTGATAATAAATGGTCTGCTTTTTCCTCGCCATTAACTGCATTTGTTATGCAAATATCAAAAAATCATACTCAGTATATTAGAGACTGAAGTAATCACTATGCCAAATTATTATGCTTAGTTCTCTTATAAGACTTATATAAAGGTTTATTCATCAAAACCAAGAACTGTTAGACATGAAAACCTTTAAGCAATGAGATTTATTCATAACAAAACCCTGCAGGAAGCTTTCACTTTTTCAGTATGATGTTCAGTAATCTAAACAAAGATATCATTAAAAAATTATAAAAAATAAAGTATTAACTACTTCTATGTGAACTTTTAGCTATATCACTTGAGTTTCTATAAGGAATTTCACCGTATCTCCTTGGAAACTAATTTTTCTTCTTGGAACTTTAAAGTACAAAAAAATATGTATTGGAAAATACTTGTTTTTTCCTTCATAAAATAAAAATGAAGTACTAATAAGCAGCTTCCAACAACCTTTATGAGCTACACTAATGAGCTGCCAAAATCTGAGAAATGTTAATATAAGTTATATATTTATTTTCATTGTAAAGCAACGTAAGACAAAACATAAGGAATTCAATATCAAGTAAACTAATAAATGGTTCAGACATTAACAATTTAAAATAAACTACTATATCATCTTCTAAAATAAATCCAATTTCCATATTTTTAGAGAAGTGCAGACATTGCTTGACCTAGAACAGAAGAATTCCTGAAATGGAACAATGAACTCAACATCAAACACTAATCCACTAGATCATACATACCTGTTTGAGAAGAGCCAAGATATAGAGTGGGAAAAGCTTGAGGGAATTTGGTGCTATCAGCATGGACTGCTGCAGATTGGAGGCAGTTGACATGTATGATGACAAGGAGTCCACCACAGCATTGACTAAGGCATCTCTTGCATCTGCAAGGCTGGATGAAACTGAGCGATCCACAGCTGCAGGGGTACAAGGAGGGAAGAAGTTACCAGACATGACTTCACTCATTCCCTTGAACTTTGAAAATTTGAGTTGTGCTTCCAGGTTATGTTTTAAGACTAAAAAATCTCCCAAACCACATCTGCAGTCATAATGTTTTTTAGGAGTAAATAGATGACTGTCAATACAGAAACTCACTTTCATAATGCTCAAAGATATAGTGTAGCTAATTTTGTACTCTTGGAGAATTAAAAGAAATTTTTAAAGCTGTCATACATATTGAAGTCTAAATATAAATTTAAACCTCATACAAACAACTTAGCTACTATTGAAAAGCTGTTCCCCAACCTCCAAGATAAAATTTGCAGCAATTAATTTTGTTTCCCCCCCCACCCCCAAGAAATTTCTTTCATTGCTTCAGTGGCATAATTGTGATTACTGTAAATGCAGCTTCATCCTTCTCTGCTGAGCAAGGGCTGCAAATCCTTTGGTTGGAGGAAGCCACCTGCTGGACTGAGTACGCATTTAAGAGGAGATCACAGAATGGCTTGGGTTGGAAGGAACCTTAAAGATCATCTAGCTTCAATCCCAAAAGACACAGAATTACAATTCACTTCTTCTAACTGATTTCAATATTAATATACAATATACCACGTGCTAAAATGCTGCACAGAGTCATACACATTTAACAGGAGAGACCAGTCTATGAAACAGCTACTTATGACCCACAATTAAGGGAATCCTCAAACCTGCAACAACAGAAGGATAGAAAACCAGTACCTCAGACACACTGTTGTCAGAAATTCCCTTTAAGTCTCCAGCAACTCACTAAACTGAATCACTGTTTCTTAAGTAATCCTAGAACGCTAAAGTTTGAGTGAACAACGGTTCCTATGTTGTTCACATAACAACATAGGAACATGACAGGAACAATGACAGCAATGATACAAAAATGAGTTTTGATCCAAGTATGTTATGATTCTCTGTCCTTTACTAACCACCAGAGAACAAAGAAGGCTGCTTTTAAAAGACTGAAGTCAACTAAGTATTCAGAACAAGGAGTATTTCTGTTCACAGTTTCAGCATAAATTTGGTTTTGTCATCTTTTGCACACACAGGCTTCAGTGTGTTGCATTCCAACCTTTTTTAATAATATCCAGGCTTCGTTCACTACTACATTTAAATGGCTGACAAAATTAGGAATATGCCAAAAAACATGTGAATCTTCCTGGCCTGTACTCACCCATGTTTGCTAAGAGGCACACGACTGCTTGTACATCTGCTCCTGCATACACATCAGACAGGGAACTCACTACAGGCAAGCAAAGTGTGTGCACTCGAATTCGACGCTCACCTACGAGAAATTAGTGGAAATCATTACGCATTCCCTCCTGGTAGAAGTAAACAAATTCAATCATTACAGCATCTCCTCCCATCTAAGAGGCATCCATTCTAGAAAAAATACCAGACAAGAAACTGCTGCAACACTGTCTCCCATTTCTGTCTCAACCTGTTAAAATTCTACTCTAAAGCAGCACAAATTGGTAACGCAAACTAGCAACATCCACAATAAGAGTCTTTAATCCTACAAATCAAGTACACTGGTATCCATCCCAAAATTTTGTGGCATCTTCTACCATAGAAATTAGCTGCTATTCTTTATGCTCACCCAGTGTAATAACTGCAGCTTTATCCAATCCATCACAGGTCTGTGTGTTTGGACAAAGTGCCTGCCAAACATGTTACTGCTTGTAACAATGGCCAGACTTTTAAGTAAAAAAGTCTTGCTGAATCAGCGCTATGTCAAATGCAGATGAAATTGTCACATTAAAACAGTGTTTATAAGGATTTCTATTATGTGATTAACTGCCTAGTAGGCTTACTAGCTTACTAGCTCTGACAAGATTCTTTTAGGGTATAGAGCACAACAAAAGGCTGTGGAACTAACTTTGCAAACACTACACAATAAAAAGAAACAAAAAGCCCACTGACTAATTAATTTAAATTTATTTACCTTTACTGGAAGTATACAAAAGAGCTGTTTGAAAACAAACTAAAGATGTGTCAGTCAGACTTTCCTCTATGGACATTTGTACTGCAAATCCAGCATCAGGATTGACATTGGCAAGGGACAGTAAATCAGTAGATCGTACAAAAAAATTCCCATGGAAAGTGTGTATCGAAAGACCTAGAAGCAGATTGAATAATTCAGAGTGAGTTTAAAACACCATGGAAAACTCTCACCAATAACTAAAAACCCAGCTTTCAAGCTAAGGTTGAAGAAAATAGAAAAAATTCTATCATGTAGAACCAACTACATGAATCATTAGACATTACAGCATTATCCTGTAGAGTTCATGTTCAATTCTGAACAGTCCAGAATTAATGATGCCCATACACTATACATGTCAACTTACAGAGAGATGGTACCATCAACTAAAAAACCAAAAAAATCCAACACCAAAAGTTAACAACATAAAGAAGACAGCTCCTTTACTTTTCAAAGAAAGAAAAATAACATTCAATTTAATGTTGCTAAAGACTAAGTGGAATTGAAAATGATTGCTAACACATGTACATCTATCATTGCATACATATCAGTATTTAAGACACACCTTTTGTACATCTTATGCGCATAACTGCTTCAAATCCAATCTTTCTTGTCAGGTATCTTTTCAGGTCTTTTTGCAACTTTTCAGCCTGAGCAGGATTATGGCTGCGATGGAAAGATGGGTAGTAATAGATGCATCCAGCAGAATACTTGGACATGCAAGCTTTGAAGAAAGGAAAGATACAGTTAAGAAGTAAAACTGTAACATGAAATAAGGACATAAAAACTGTGTCTAGACTTCCACAAGCCACATGTCTGTTCATCTTCTCAATATCCCCCACATCCGTAAGACAATGAGAACTGTCCCAGACCAGGCGAGTGAAGATGAAAATGAATCACCCCAACACATAATGACCTAATTATACACCAAGCTCAATAAGCATCCTACATTTGGCAGCTAAGATTGAAGTGCTTGCAGAAATATCTAATGGTGTAGAGATAAAATTAAGCTATGTACAGAGAAAAATCTTGGATAATTATCAAAAGATGAAAACTCTGTTCTACCCCTATAGTTAAACTTCATTTATTTGTTGCCACATTTGTGTTTCCTGTTCCTTTAGCAGAATACTTCTCATTTAAAACTTTGAAATCCTAGAATAAATTGTCTGATACCATCAATATAATATTTCTGTTCTTTACTTCCATCAACTTTGCAAAATGAGGAGCAATAACAGAAGTGCTAAAATATTTACATGACTTAAGAATTCTTGAGGTAGCCTGTGCTTCTGAAGAGAGACAACAGTGCAGAAGGAGGGAATCAGGTACTCCTTACCAAGAGAAGCTAGATCAGAATATTGTGAACTTAAGAGAAATAAATCCACAGCAGTCTGCTGGCCAGAGCAGTCCAATGCCAACTTCTTATAAAAGTCTGTTGCTGGACCAAGATGCTGGACCACCTATAGTAAATAAATCATAGAGGGAGAAGTTATGACAACAATCATCCATTTTAGAGTTCATGGAACAAAAGACATACTATTCAGCAGCATCTGAGTTAACTGTGTCACAAATATTTGCAGCTTCTTTTGCTTGCCAAGAAAAACTATGGACTAAAAGCCAAAGACAGATCATGAACTTCAGAACAAGTAATGCCACACATACATGTATAAAGTAGGGATCTTAAATGCATAAACATCGATATTATTAAAATGTAGTTAATAGCTGTAAATGAAGATGAAGCAATTGATCTGCAGAACCACGCAAGTCAGAAAGACATGGCCAGTCCTTAGTCTTTTGAAATAAATAGTAAGGGAAGTTTTTTACCTTTGTGCTTGACCTTTGGTTGGGATCCTCTCTGGAATGCAACAGCCCCGCTCCCAAAGACGGTAACTGGGTTTGAAACACAGAGATCCGACCACCCGTTGGAGACATCAGTTTAAATGCAGCCTGAAGAGCAGGGCCTAATGCACTGTGTGTTTCTCTTGTATTGGTGAACATATTTGGTAATGCATTCAATAGATCTTTTATCAGCTGCAGAACAGATTGAAAGGTGTTTTATGAGATTCTGCAAGCTTGAGATTTTCTATTGTTTCAAAAAAGCTGTACTGCCATGACTGAAGTGGCAGAATCAGTACATGTCTTCCAAAATGAAAAATTAGCATTGGAACTACATATTATGAAGATTAAGTTTGAATTCAAAATTTAACAGGAACATCTGTTTTGAATATTTAACACCTTGAATTTAATGACGTATTTTGAGCAATCATACCTCTTTGCTTTCATGGAGATTTACAAGTAAACTATCTGGTGTAGGTAGGAAAATATCTGTGGAGAGAAGAGAAAAAAAATGTATTAAAGAAAAAAATAACACTAAAATAGAACAAAACATTTCATTTCCCACTGCTACAAACACCGTGAAATAGTCTACTTTTCTAATGTGTGTGTTACAGCTAAATATTCCTTGCAGTTAAATAATTATATACAGATACAGGTGTGTTAGAGTAATACAATCTGTACAAATATTTTCTGATTCAAAGCAAAATTAACTATTGAATTTCACGTTTTAAACATCATCTACTCTGCAGTTAGGGCAAGACTATTTTTTAGAAGAATATTCTCATTCAATAACACTGACCTAATACCAAATAGTTGAGAGATTCTAACCTTTGTTCTGGGAAAAAAAAAAATAATAGGTTCTCAAAAATTCAGCTTCCATTTTCTTTTTACTTACCATCAATATCTGAGACAATCAGCATCTGAGGCTGTGATAAACCTTCTTGCAAGTTGTAAAACTGAACAGTGCTGTCAAACGTTATGAACCCTATTCTTGTTCTTGAATCTCCAGGCAGCCTGAAGCATTAAAAAATAAACTATTAAGCCCTAAATCTCTCTCTCAAGACACATAGATACTCAGGGCTCCTGCTGATGTTAGAAGAAACTCAGTTCATATGTAAAGAAGTGAAGAGAGAACAGAAGGGAGATCTGAAACATGAATACAACCAGTATTTCCTCAACATTTTCTGAAAAGCTGGGTAATGATACAGTTTCTAGGACCAAGTGTTACAGATAAGCACTCACTAATATATTGATGCTTTGTTTCACAAGAGAGCTTAGAAAGTTCATTTCAACATTACACTGAAACATGAAAGAAGACCGCCTTCTCAGTTTTTAATAGAAAACAGTGCATTCTGCCCTTTCCTAATTCAGAACCCCAATTTACTAATGTAGTTACAGAGTACTTACAGCTCTAAACCAAAGTCCAATGTCTCTACAACACCACGTATTTATTTCTTATGTGGACCATATTTACCTGTATGGCATAATACAAAACTAAAGACTACAAGGGATTTCTCAAGTAAAATATAAAAAATATCATGGAGTGCTGAAAACCATGACAGTGACCAAGAACATTAGAGGCAAATACTGCTGTTACCATCTAGGTATCATAAATGGCACAGATTTTCCTGTGGACTTAGCATGGGATTTTATGCATTTTCCTAAAATAATTAAGCATGTTTCTGAGATTCTGTTGACAAAAACCCTGAACAAAGAAAGATCGAACCAAAAAATGGAAACACAGATTTTTAATGTATATATTGGCCTCTTCATGAAAAAATCAAGTTCAATAAGAAAAACTTGTAGAAAGGAATTTTCAAGGCAAGGCCTCCAAAGGATTAGTTGTCAAAAGGCATGAACACAGTGAAGCTCATTAACCCTCACTCAAAATGCACCAGGAACAATCCCATACACGCTGTCCCAGTGCAAAAATAAAACCAGAGAAACTGGCACAGGGTAACTGTGATCTAAAAAAGCCAAACTGACAACATATTCACCCAGGCAGTCTTACTCTCACGGTTACAATGTTCCAGTTTGCAGCATCTCAGACCTTTCAGCACAAGAACCAGGAAATTTAACCATTGTAATTTATTATTTTTGTTGGTCTCGGCAAGAGGGAAGAATGAAATTTAAGAATCTCTGTACAATCAATATGTTGTTAGAAATTACAGCTAAATACTCCTTGCAGATAAGAAATTATATGCAGATACACGTGCAGGGAAGGAATTCCAGGCAAAGGAAATTCTGCCCTTTAGGGATAGAATGTTTAGACACTTTGAAATTTCCTTCAAAATTTTCAGTTACAATTTTTCATAACAACATATTAGCTGATTTGAAAAGGTTATTTATACTCTTACTTGTCTAGGTTTTCCAGCAATGACTGGCAGAGTATTGTCAAATATCCAGACTCCACTGCATTATGAGACACATCTAAAACAAATAAATATACCGCAGGCTGAGGAGGACGAAGCTACAAAGTAAAAAAAAAATAAAACCACTCAAAAATCATATTCAAAGAAATGCTAAATGTGATTAGTCATTAGAAAGGGAAGTAGGAAAAGGGAATACTTAGAAAAATGCAAGGTATACATTATGCAATAAAGGTAATTTACTAAGCAATATGCAGAAGGACTTAACCACAACCCCCAGTGGTTAATAACTTATAACTGCCATTTGTAATAAATATAAAGTGTTATACTTCAGGGGGAAAAAAGGATATTTTAGTCCCTCCTTCCAGCAGTCAATTCAAACATGATGAGGGATACTGACTTCCATCTTTTAAATTCCATTGTTCTTTCAGTACAGGGACAATGTGATCCATGAAACAGGGTTAACGCATTCTGCCTACCCCCTTTCCCCAATTATGTACCAAGCTGTTTATTCACTGTAATTTGTCTGCCACAATGTTTCAATTCAAAGACAAGAGAACAATTTATTTTTGCTGTTGCTATTAATGTCATTATTAAGTAGGCCTTTTCACAGGTAGACAAGACCACCATCCCAGCAATTGTAAGTTGACTACTAATAAGACCCATTTCTTCACAATTATGAACTAGAAATTTGAAGCTGAATTAATTTGCTCATTATTCTATTACTGGTCTTTCAAAACGTCCTCAAAATGAGGGAGAAAGGCCTAAACCACACTGCATCGGATTAAAATCTGACTGTGCCACATTAAACTACACTGAATGACAACACACATTGAATTACTTTTAACTCAAAAGCTTCTGACTGTTTACATCAGCCAAAACTCAAAACATGAATTTAAATATTCTTTGGTGTTAAGAGGAGCTTCACAGAAAAATTAATACACACCACTGGATCAATATGAAACATTAATTTCAAGACTATTATAGTAATATACAATTGCTGTTGAAGTTACTATGAAAACTTTTTCTTACCATATAGTCTGAAGAAGCAATGAATTCCACTGTAGAATTTTGCACCTCTGGCCGTTTGTGAGGCTCTCCATAAGATCGTGTCAGAGGATTATACATAAATTCTTCAGGAACTATTAAAAAAAAATCATTACCCCCCAAATACAGATTATATTTTTGCCAGAAAATAAAAACCATTATTGCAGCTAAATGCAAAGTAATGTGGGCACACTTCAATTATTACAATAGCAAAAAATTTACATTAAAGATACATAAAAAAAGGAACATTTCAAATATCTCAAGCATATCTTTAACATCAAAGTTCAATCAGCAATTGTAAAGAAAATTTATATATTTTAAACAACAACAGATCCCCAGCTATAAAACAGCAATGCAAGTAGAGCATTTCACAACAAGCAGCAATCTGTACTGTTCCTCATAGTTTCTGGCCTGGATTGTAGCTATCATCATGTTTCCATTTGCATATTGCAACAGCAGTCAGTGGGATTAGCTGATTTCATTAGACAAGGAATCAGCATATTATGAATACATTTTCTTCACGTCCACAAAGATTGCAAAACAATCTTTTGCTTCAAGAAAGAGTGCAACACATCTGCCTTGAGATGTTTTTCAAAATTTCTGGACATTGTCACTGTACTTTATGTTTTAACCTAAAATATCCCATGGACTAATACAATGCAAATACTTGAAAGAGATTCTATAAATAGAAGCATCTCCTGCTCCAGTCACTTACCATCATTAACTCTATAGCACAGGTTGCATTTCCACCGCCTTTGATCGATGAAAGAAACAAAAGGGTTGATGTACGTCCTGCAGGATCTGCATCTCACTATTGTACTTGATGTTATCACTGGCAATTGCTAAAAAGGAAACAATGAAAAGCTGTCACAAATGTATGTAATATACTTTATTGAAATCATCTCTGTGCAGTACAGTTCATAAAAGCTTTCTAAGGCTTCAATTTCTGTCATTTCTTTTTAGCTGTTTAGTTCAATTTCATAGAGTGATTATGATGTCTATTAAAAAACAATCTCCCCCAAAAAATTAGCACTTAATTATTTTCTTAATATAGTCTCAAAATCAAAGATGCAGTAAGATATTAAATAAGACTACTTTAAATTACAGCTACTATGGCAAAAGGAATTATGAAAGGACAACTTTTGAGTGACTCTACAAGAAATATGATGGACAGCAAATCTAACACACAATTAATAAAAAAAAGTCATACCAGACAGTTACTTACATTTTTAAATAAATGCTAATAAATTACATTGAGAGGAGTTGTTTAATGAATGAATGAAGCTTATGAATATAGCTTCAGTCTTATATTGTGTTTATGTTCTACTGACAGCAAGATTCAGGCCAGTCACACATTCAAACCGAGCACCACCCTTCAGGAGAGCTCTGTGAAGATGTTTTCAAGATGTATCTGACAGTTGTGAGCCCAACACCTAGAGCAGCAATTCTTTGGAGAACCACACGCAAGCAAGGACTTCCAACAACAAAAAAATAAACTTGAAGGGCTTATGCATTTCAATGAAGTAGCAATTTCAAGGCTGTTTTTGCTCTCCTCCTCTCTAAGTCACAGACAATTTTTTTGTACTTCTGTTAAACTTAGGACTTAGAGTTCATTATATTTCATTGTTTGAATGAAAACAGAACAAATGCATATTTAAACAAAAACACACACACAAAAAAGTAAGGTACTTTACCGTCAGATCCCTGAATGGATGAAGCAACAAACCCAAAGGAAGCTTAGCTTTGTTTAACAAGGCCTGTGTCTGTGGAATATTTGTCAATGTACATCGAAATGAGCTGAAAGAAAGTAGAAACATTATGTTAAAAATGAAATTTTAAAAGATGCTGAAAACATTGTTTAAACACCTGATTTTAAAGAATTTGAAATTTAAGAAATCCTATGTTTTACAAAGATGATTTGATTTTAAAGATGCAGAGATTTTTAAAAAGGCTTCATAAAGAAACAAAAAAAAATACTCCTCTGCTCCACAGTTTAGGAGTTCAGCAATGCAAGTATACCAAAATAAACTTGCAATTAAGAGACAGAACTGTTTTAGATACAACACCAAATGAAAACTATGTATTTTTCTGTTCACTATAAAGATTTTTCCAGTGAACCAAGAGAGTATTCAACTAGTACTCAGAATGTCATCTTTATATAAGAAAATAATAGAAAAGGATCCCAAATACAGAGAGAGTCAAAACCTTTTGTTCTGTGTAACATGAAGGGACACTAAAAAACCTCGGTGCACAAATAGTGCTGTCAAAAGTGTTCCACATGTAAGAATGATTTCCACACCTTCAGTTTTCTGATTTCTGTTTTCTGGTGGGACCATGCACTGCTACTACAGGAATAAGGATGCTGAGTCGCTTTGGGGCAATGAAGACTACTTATTTTGGAATTACAAGTAAAATCTTTGGGGAAAAGCACTTTCCACTGTATTTAGCTGCGCTTGACTTGGGATAGTTGATAATACTACTTAATGTTAATTAGAGGTAAATGGATACATGATTGCAGAATTATCATAGTAAAATATACTCATAAATTATTACGTGTATTCAGGCATAATCATAATACTTTTGTGGAAAAAATTTTATGCAATATCACAAAATATTCTATGAAACATTGTGTAGCATTAAGGTGTTTATTAAAATACTTTTTTAAATGGCTAAAACAAGGTGAAGATATAGAAAAATTATTAAAATACTAAGAAACTGGCTACACTCACTGTATAAAATAAATTCTGATGGTAGGACAGTTACAATATTTGTGTAATGACTCAGAGAATAAACTTGTTTTCAGTAAAAAGGTGTTTTATTAGTTCATCACTAAGATTCAAAGTTAGGAGTCAGCTGAGACACTTTTTGAAATTTTAAATAATTATTGCCTACTAAAAAATATAAGATACTGTCCTAGACACAGTAAACTTACTCTGGACTGCAGTTTAATTTCCTAAGATCAGAATTCAAGTTAGGCACAGGTGCTGGAACTGAAGATACTGGTAAAATATTTCTATCATGTGTAAGGTTTACTGGTCTCAAGCTTTCTGGCTGCTGAGAATGCTGTAGACTTAATCCTCCTAAGGAAGAGGACAGCTGGTTCACACCTGGATATTGCTGTAAAGTTAAAGCATGACAAACAGGTAAACACACCATCATGTTTAAATGACAGCTTTCAATCTTCTTGTAGTGCCCTCCCTTCCAGACACGTATTAAAAAAGGATATAGCAAAAATTAGTAACAAACCCAAACAAACAAAAGGAGTGTTGTACTGTAGAAATTTAAAAATGCTACAACAAATGTGACACACATTCCAAATGTGCATCATAGGATAAAATTCAAATTCATTATGCAAATCAACGCTGGAAGTCACACATAATCCTTCAGTCTCTCCAGGCATAAGAAAACAAGTACTAAAAAGGCTGACACAATTTCTCTCCCAATCTGCTCTGCAATTTAACTTTTGTTACAATCAACTTTTCCAAGTTACAGACACTGTCTTTAAATATTTATTTTTAAATTAAAACAAAACACCACAGAAGAGGAGAAAAGGTAAGGTTGGAAGGCACCTTTGAGGTCTGGTAGTCTAACCCTTTGCTCAAGCAAGGCTAACTTAGAAATTAGTTCAGGTTGCTCATATAGATTAATCCAGCTAAATTTTCAAGGATTGATAATTTCACAACACAATCTGTTCTAGTGCTTCCCCACTCTCATCCTGAAGCATTTTTTCTTTATATGTCCAACCTTTATTCACTTGAAGCAACTGCTGTTCTTTTACTGTGTGCTCCTGAAAGAGCCTAACTCCATCTCATATTACAGTAAAGATGAAGCCAACACTTTCAATTAAAAAGAAAAAATTAAATGAAACATTTCTTCCAAGTCACATCTTACATTATGCCTGTGATCGTGAAAGCCTTACTGGATGTTACATGCAGTAAGGAATTTTGATCACCTACCACAGCAGTTTCACTGTCTTTGCCACCTGGCCCTTACTTCAGAGAGCAGGATTTGTGTATCAGTACATTTCTTTTTCTAGACCCCTTCGCACATACATTCCTCTGCACTTCTTCAGCATGTGTGTCTTGCCTCAGTACGTGGCTCTTTTTCTGCCACTGGTCTCTGGGGAATCACGTGTACAACAGGAATCAGGTGATTGTACACAATTTCTTGGGTGTTTGGAGGTATCTTTATGAGGAAAACAGAGCAGATGCAGGCAGCCTGCTCCACTACATACAGCCAGCACAAGCTCTACTAGCTCTTTTATCTGGACCCTTGGCCATGCTATGCCTTATGACCTTGCTCATAAAATCATTTAATGCTTGAGATAACATGCCAATAGCAATGCCCTGATATCTATTGACCAAATACTTCTTTATGCTTCCTCACTGTTTCCTATAAAGTTCAGCTCTTTCAAACATCAAACCTTAACAGTGTGGAGTTTGCTAACAACTGGTGAAGCAAACTTGTTAAGCCTAACTACTTGGAGGCACACTTAAAACTTTCATTCAAAAGCCTTCCAGTAAGTTTAAAACCAGACATGAATATAACATCAATATTATACCTAATGTTTATTGTCTCAGAAACTATAAAAATATGAAATATGAAAATAAGGGGGAAATATATCACACAGAAATGGGTTTTTGCAGGAATTTACTTAATGAAGTAATTTTAAAATTAAGAATACAAGCCTGTGCATAGTGCTGAAAACCAGAATGGTGTCCTGGATTACTGGGCTGCACAGGAGTAGGTGGTGTTGCATTTTGGTAGCCTGGCTGCAGTGCTGGATATCCATAACCAAAGGGCTTAGAAGCTTTTGATGTTTGGACGACTGATGGAGACGGAACTGGACTGCCAGTCACAGAACGTGTCTCTGGAAAGACAAAAGAAATGCCACAGGTATTGAATATACTTATTATTTCCTTCTTAATTTAAATGTAAACTCCTAAATGCTTCAAAACAACGTTGCCATTCATAAGTTTTTTCATTATCCATCAAGTTATTTTTCTGCACTTAATAAGGAATTAAAAAGAAAGATTACTTCAAGAGTTTTTACAAAATGTGTACAGAAGATGACCAGGGACTAGTGTCACTACAAACAAAATGTTACTCTACAAAAAGAGGCAACTTGAAAAAAAAACCATTTTAATTGAATAAAAATAGAACCACATTTTATTCCAATATATACAGTTGATATAAACCACAAACAAGACCATTCATGCTTAATCTACCCTCTGCCACTTCTGAAAACTGTCATAGCATGACTAGAATCATTCCATGATTCTACATGACTTCATGGAAAACCATGCCTACAGTTAGAGAAGAGCTCCATTGGTTTAGCCTTATATTTTGACAGTATTCATAAATGGTAGAGGAGAAATAAAGCATGCTCTCTTTTGAAGTTTTAACCTGATGCAAGTTTCTCTTGTATACACCTGCAGCACAGCTTAGTTCAGCTATTTTTCAAGTTCAAACTGAAAGTAAGACATAGACCTAAATCCACAGTGAACTTAACAGCTGTAACGAGATCAAAGTACTCTTTTGAAATGTCTACAGATGTGAGCTAAGTTTCAGAAGAATTTAAGCTTGGTGAAGTCAACTGGGAAAAGTACAAGCAACGGAACAAAGCACTCAAGAAACCAACTGCCAATAAACTATGTTTGTCATGAACACTCCATGAGGGGAAGACCCCAATAAAACAAGAAAAAAACTGCAACAGATTTAAGTAACCTAATGTTGACTCTGTTTATCTTAAAAAAATAAAAGGAACGAGTTACTTTAAGAATATGCTTTCAGCAGAACCAAAATGGTTAGTTATTAGGCCAGAGGGTATAGAATTTGTAGTCCTGCTAGACTCTATGTGGATAACAATACCAGCTTTCTAACTGAGAGAGCTCTCACTTTAATCAGGAACCCATCAAACTATGGCAAACTACTGTGACACTCCCAGGGGCCAGAACAAGACAAAGGAGCCAGGAGGGCCTCCAAATTAATCCAATTATTAATTTAAAATACTTTGAATAGCATCTTTTCCACTTGCTCTCAAAATGGCAGCTCTACAGATTTCAAGACCAAGTCAGCCAGTAAGTTAATTTAGCACCAACCTGACAGTCCTGATATTTTTAGAGCAAAGAGTAAGCAAAACAGCAGCCATTTTCTTTAAATGAAGAAAAATAAAAGACGATAACCTGATCCAAGCATCTCTGCAAGCTGATACTGTTGGTCTCCCAAAACTTCTGTGATGTGTCAGCAACTATTATCAGCTCCTAATGTCAACAACACAATCAGGAATACAGTATAATCTAGCAAAAAGATGCTGCTTTCACACTTAGCGTATTTTCAGCACTACCCTCAATACTACAATGGAAAGTATGACTTATGATTCAGGGAAGTTTTATTAAATAGTCAGATGAACTTCAGTATTAAAACTGTGAGAAATTATTTAAAAAGAGATGTATGTTTCCTCTGATGATTTCCCCTGTTCCTTTCATAGGCACTGGCTTTCAACTACTTGCTGATTAACAATAAGTAACACCAGAAACAATAAAAAAACCACATTTATGTCCTTGAATAAGTAAATCAAAACAAACTGCTTACCTGGATAGCCACCTCCCTCCAGAGCATCATAATTGTTCAGAACAGGAGAGGCACTGCTTGTAGTAGAGGAACTATCAAGTGCTGGGGGAGAAAAATAGTTTAACTTTAGGGATATCAAAAATAGCAAACTTTTGATGAATAAAAGACTGCATTTTTTTTTCCTAAAATCTTTGATAAAAAACTGTCAAGAAAGATCCTCAGAAAAAACCCCACCACTTCAGCCCTAAGACTTGAAAACTATTACTACTGTAAAGAGGAGAGGGAGAAAATATAATCAGCAAGATACTAAAAACAAACAAGCACATGCCCAACAAACAGCAAGAGAGATCAATGGGAAAAAGACAAAAACAATGAAAAAAGTTGCTTCTTGAAATAAAAAATAATTTTCTATTAAACCAAAAGTTCTTTCTAGACTATATCAACTGAGGCCATGCACATTTTAAAAACAGTCCATTCACAACTTTCTTCACAACTGCAAACAACAGAAGATTCCCATCATCTTCAGAATGATTATCCACCTACAAGCCAAACTGACAAAGATTTAATTCTTCCCTCCTTTCTGTATCATTCTAATTAACAGCTAGCTTTCCTCTCAGTCTAAAGATTCTATTTTCCTATCATTGACAAAAGTCTGAACTTCAGTCGGTGTAAACAATTAATCTTAGCTCAGCCTAAAGTAGCTAAGTAAAAAGCAACTATGGAAAATTAAGTACCAGAAGTTAACTAGGCAGATATAAAAAAGCACAGTGAGCACATACATAGCTGTTAGGATTGAAGAGACTCAATTGGTTAATTTTTAGTTCAACCTATGTATAGATCTTGAATATCTTACTTAAAACATCTGTCAAAGAATTATTTTAAAACATCTCTTCCAACATGATTTCATGCACATTTATTTCCAATGAAAAAAGGGCCCAGAAGATTAAATGTATGCTCTCTAAAACACACCAAGTCATGAAGTGTGATAGAAAAAAGTGTCTATTTAAGAATTGAGGAAAAAAAAAGAAAATTGTATATATAATTTTTGTGACAGAAAAGACTGAAAAGATTCACTAATACGGTTCTACTTGGAAGGATCAACCATGACCACACATCCCATTGCAAAGCTGAAAGTATTTCAAGGGAAAATTTCAATGGAACATGGTGAAACATTTGAGACTTCCAAGTGAAAAGACTGCATATGAAAACACGACACCACTGACATTTGGGACACAGAAATACCATGGCACCATCCTGACAGTACAGATAATTATTGAGCATTTTGCCTTTAAAGCATTCAACTAAGAAATACAAAATCTATTTATAAAATCCATAAGACCAACAATAATATATTATTTAAAGGAAAATTTAATTGTGACATTCACACAATTTTAGATTTCAGATTTTCACTGTAAATTTTCTTTTTTTTTTAATCCTGGAGGTTACTAAAGAACATAATTGCTAGATTTTATTTTCTGTTCTATAGAAACAGATTCTGATTGAAGGAATCAAGATTCATGACTTTTTTTACTTTGATCAGGATTAGGGCTTTTAAAGCTTTTCTAAGTCTTACTACAGAAAAGTCAAAATACACTTTTGTTAGGTCAACAAAACAGTTGAGAAGTTACATGAACACAAACAACTACATTTCCAGCACCTGTTCTTCATAAAACCACAGTGACAGTCCAAGCCAGAAATTTGTCTGCTGAGATGTGTTAAGGATTTACATTAGCTCCTGCTGACAGGGCATAAAACAGTATGCTGCTAATTAATCATACAGCCTCCATACAGAACCTGGGTGCCCTTCTACTCTTTACCGTAACATAAATTTAAATGCAATGATACGTCCAAGGCTACAGGTTTTAGTGAAGCACAGAACCTGAGACAGAATGATGGTAGGGAGTATGAAACTTTGTTTAGGGAACAAGGTAAGGAGAAAAAGGTTACAATTGATAAAAAACCCAATCAACATCATTTGGACAGAAACCATGGCAGGCAAACCCAACACACTGTTCTTAATTATGACCTGGATGTCACCATTGCTTTGTTCCATTCTTCGCAGAATCATTATCAGTATATATACTGAAAATAATTAAATATTGAGAAATATTATCAGTACACTATTTTCACAGTTTTCTAGACGGTAATTTAATTATTTTAATAAAACTGGCACTGGTTTTTTTTTTTTCTGACTACATGTATCATAAAATTAAAGAAAAAGCTACAATAGCTTCCTATTCCCAACCAATACTAAAAACCAGCAGTACAAGGTATGTGCTGTTACTTCTACCTATCAACAAGGGTAGCAGTCTCACGTTTATCTCAAAGAAGCTTTTATACTGTTACCACTCATGTAGTCAGTAAAGACTTCTTTAGTTCCAAAAGAAAAGGTTACCAAAATGGAATTAACTAAACTGGTGAGAAACATTAAACTCACAAAACCAGGTCATTCTGACAAAACAGGCAAAATGCAACCAAGTATGTAACACTTCAACCAGTCAGGACAAACTGCTTCTTAAAAATGAAAAATCAACAAACTTTTAAAGTTTTCTACAAAGCAAGCAGATTAAAAGTGAACCTCTGAGCCTGACCATTGAGACATACACCTTTAGAAGGAGAAAAAAATCAGCACAGATTAATTTACTGTCCTAAAAAGCACACTTACAACCTCTCAGTGTTTACTACCTTAATTGTATGAGTTCCTTATGCATAAGATGAGAAACACGGTAAACACTGTTTAACGTAATGATACAAATGCCATCTGGTATCTTAACCTGAACAATTAGTAAGTATAAGTTCTACTGCTAGTTATCTTCGGTTAAAACTCAGTGCAAATCAAAATACTGAAAATATGGGAGTCTTGCAAGTTGTAAATATTACTTTGTTAGATTCATAAAACATCTGATATTAACGTGACAAAAAATTGACCTATTTATTGGTCACTACTGAAGTTATTTTTGATTATAGTAACAGCTGGGAAATTTCAAGCTGAAGAGTCAGGGTGATGCTTTGTATTAAAGGAAGAAAAAGTTTCAGGGGATGGAAATATGAGGAAAACCTTAAGTAGAAAGATAACAAGATACTGGTGTAAAGCTAAAGCCAACCTGCTTCCTCATCCTCCTCATCCTCTTCCTCATCATCTGAACTTGATGACAAGGGAGCTGGTGCAGAGCTAGCTTGATTATTAACATATCCACCATACTGCATGCCTGTGAATTGGAAAGCACAAACATCAGAGTCAGACAGACAGGAAAGACGAGAAATGGAAGTCACAAATCATTGCATTAAAAGTGAGAAAAATCAGCTGTTCCAGAAAAAATCCCAGCATGCAGCAAGTTAAATCTACAACCCTAGAAGCAGTTTTTAGTGGGCTACGTCAGTAAAATATTAGTAGCACATGGAAGTTAGCAGATAATTTTATATGTGTGTATGTGCATGTGTATCAGGAAATTAAACACACAGACTTCCTACCTATCTTTTTAATACCAGTTTCCAGTGGAGTACTTTTATAAATTAATACACTGAAATTAAGGCGTTATTTCCACATAAATTCAAATTATGTTATGAAAACTTTTAGTATTAACTTTTGCTTGGCACACCTCTTCTTTTTAAGACAAGAATAATTCATGTTGGAATTCTGCCAGAAATGAATGAAATATAACTGCTGTTGCCACACGCAAGAGTACAAACACACATACAGAGAGCACAACACAATCAGTGAAATTAAAGCTAGGTAAACCTGAAAATTTGGGTTGTCTTATGTTTACACAAGTACCTAAATTTGGGCTTATAAGCATGTGATTACACCTTGCACTTCTAGTATCTGGTGACAATGCGGCAACTGTTACTGCTGTCACCTCCACAGCACAAACTATTAGGGTTTTTTTAGGTTTTTTTGTTTGCTTTTACAGTATCTACTCTAAATATATGTGAGCAATACAGAAAGGCAACACAAACATACCACTTCAAAACAGAGTAAAGCATGCAGCAATGGCTTACAATTAAAGTCCTACATTACTTGTTATTGATGCATTTTCAGCATCTTCAAGAAATCTTACATTTCTCTTGTGACAAGGCAGGGTTAGCAAGGATTTTAGATATGCTTTTAGTCAGGCAGTGACATCCTAAATAAATGCAAATGATCACTGTTTCACTCTTATCAATCTAATGGATTAGTATGGTGAGAAAATATCCTAAGCATCCAAAACTCTTCAAATATTTGGGAATTTGGGGTTCCATCAGTCTGTAGAAGTACTGTGGCACGAATGAGTAGCATTCTTCATTTTAATACTACAAAGCTTTACAGAAGTGTTACGTTATGTATAATCTGAACCCATCATAGTAACAAATAATATGCCCATCCATGACTTCAATCAACTGTATCAACCTTTATTTTATTTAAAATATGGTCTATAAATGGGTCTAGTTTCATGGCTCTTTCTCAAAAATGGTTAGCAAATGGACCCAAGAAGAGCATTTTAATTTCACTTTAAAAACACCAACAGAATCAAGGTGAAGAGTATCTACTCAAATACTGGAAGTAAAAAGAAAAGAAAGCAAAACTATGAAACAACATTATTGAGAAGGTAAACTTTCGTAGAGAGAGTGGTGCAAGAAAAGATGGGCATTATATTCCTATATCTAGTGCATTAATACTTGTACAAATTTCTCTGTAATTCAAGTAGTCACCACAATGAACGAACAATCATCCAAAGTGCCACTGAGTAGATTCAGTACTTCAGTTTTCCATACTATTACAACACAGGGCTAACTGGAGTAATTTCTAGTCCCATCTTTTATAAATTTACTGAGTGCACTTGGGAAGAATACAAGAAAATCATTATCTGTGCAAGAACAGACTAGAGCTAATACATTAACAGACAATGTCTTTTCTCAGGCCTGGGAGAACTGCTGAGGAATAAAACAGTACTGCACTATTGCAAAAGAGGTAAAAAACCCCTACCTTAAAATAATTAACACGCAAGTAAAAGGGTAAAAAGTCAGGATGACAAGAATGGCTGCACTTTAACAGCAAGAACCAAAGTAAAAGTAGATGTGCCCAGTGTGAGAGTGTAAAGACATCATGTATGTCTTTACAGATATAGATAAGAAGATATAGATAAGAAGAAGAAAGACAGGATATATACCTGGAAAATGCATGCCAATGTAAAAATTCCAAGCATGCACAGATGAGAGAAAAGGAATGGATTATTCATTACTTGTCACATGCATTAAGGATGCAGGTGCTCAGAAAGAATACAGAAGAAAATAAATTGAAAACATATGCTAGCAACATAGAAGTTTAGGAATCATGAATTACGTCATTATGAATGCTGTGAAGACCAGGCTGGTTTGATTCTTCCCAGAGTTTGTAAAGATTTATTTTCATTGCCAACAGTACTACAGATTTCTGCCCTTGAGACTGTGCTGTGCTAGTACACCTGTCCAGTCAAAAAAAAACCTCTGGAGAATAGATCTGGCTGAAAAACAACATAGTTTAAAAAGTCATTGGCAGGTGGGAAAGTCTCCCATTCTAGATCACTGCCCAGCAATGCCAACAGTAGACCAACACAGGGGAGAAAGCAATTGAGGGCAGAAATGGGTGGCTGCAGAAAGCAATTCCAAGTGCCATCATGCACCTAATCATGTTTTCTGTTGCGACAACTCAGTTCTGCTTAGTATCTTTTACAGATTTGATAATGGTGTTAAAATCTCCCACTTTTAGAACTGCAAAAACCAATTTAGAAAGAATTATTTATTTTGAGTTATGTTATTCCACAAATCTGGCCTAAAATGCAACCACATAAATCATTACAAATTTCTTAAACTGGAAATTTCTAAACCCTGCAAGCAATGTACCTGTGATATAATAACATTGCACTCAAAGGCTTTATCCTACTATAATTCAGACACCTAGAAATGTAGGTGGCAGGACACAGAAGATAAATTGTGATAATAACACATATGCCTGTAAAATAAACAACTATTTAGGTATTTTAAGTTCAATCACCCACACCATAAAAGCTTTTCAAACATAAATTTAGAACAGATATTTATGTAAAATTAAATAGGCTTGAATACTTTTTAAGGTTTTTGTCCTGTTAGAAGATAAGCAAGTAAATAATTAGAATATTTTATTTTTTAAAGGAATGCCCCAAGAGGAGCCTAAAACAATGAAATACTTAAAAAATTAATTCAAACTGGGTTTTTTCAGAATGCTTTCATGTAGATAATGGTATTCTATAATTTAGAAAATCAAGTCCGTCTGATTACTGCAGGAGGAACATATTTGGAATTCTAACCCAGACAAATATTTAGTACATGTGTTCTGGTTTTTCAGTAGGTTCACTTCCACAAATAGTTACCACATTTAATTTTTGATAAAAAAGTTGTTGATAAAAAAAAAGCAAGAGCACATGATTTATTTCAGACTCTTCAAACAAAACTAGCAAAGAGTTTGACGTCTTCCACTGCTCATAAAACCATCATCTGAACATAGAAACTTATGTGTGATTATATGTAAATAGATAATATTAGATCAATAAAAACGTCTGACAACCTATCTTTATATTGTTGTTTTTAAAATGTGCTCATTCAGCTACTTACTGCATTCACTCTCACTTGGTGGAAGCATTTGAATTTAGGGAAGTTCAGCAGCCACTGCACTGATCTGTAGCTGCTGTACCAGGTGTTCACACATTTCACAGGAATTACTTCCAGAACACACACACTGCACATCAAGGCAATCACAGTTAAAGAGCTAAAATCCTTCTTATTAAAAACATGGTTTGCAATTTCTTTGGAAAAAGAAGCAACACTTTTTTTCTAGCAAGCACACCTACAACACAAAATCTATCTTGCACCAAAATCAACTATAAAACTGTGCAAGAACCACAGTTCCAAAAATTGACAGATTTTCTTTAAAATGATACGCTGTACATAGGACTTTATAGCAATGAATAATTTTTTTCCTCCAATATATATAGAAATGATTGATGAACAACCTGTAATCACCAAAAAGGAGAAAACTGAGGAAAAGGGGTAATTTAGTTATTTACGTCAGAGGTTTCTGTCATTTACGAATAAAAAAAATGCACTGTGACAATCACACACCATGCGGTTGCCAATTATTTTGAACACTAGAGATACCACATTGTTCTGACAAAATTAATGCCTACTTCCACCCCTCAGCCAGAGTCCTTTTCCATAAGAATTTAAAATTCTGAAACTGCTAAGAGAAAACATGGCCAAAGGAAAAAAACGTCATGCAGTCAATTAAATTTCGAATACTAGAGACAGAAACATGTAATAATCAAGAGGCAAAGTTTAATTTAACTGAAGAAGGCTCAAGAGCCAATCAATTCTTTGTCAAGATACTGCCAACATCAGAATAGGAAGGAGCTTATACAAACACTCAGGTTTCCCACAAGAATTCTTGCAGCAACTTTCCATGGGCACTTACAACTAGGCAGTAAGATAACAACTCTACCAGTCTGAACTTAATCCTCAAATTCACTGTTTCCACAAACTAGCAGATTTCTAGTTTACAATTCATTTTCCAATACAGACAAGCTAATTTTAAGACCTTCCTCTAAAAACTTAAAGTAGTGAGCAGTTTTTTAGAATAAGGGAACTAAAAGAAAGTTTTTTTGAGCAAGAGACATGTAAGACTACCAACAAGACAAAGGTAACACATGAACAAAGGAAATCAAACACAAACATGAAGAGAATCTAAAACCAAGGTAACATAAAACACCACCACTCAGGGAGCCTGATGAGATGCCAGAGATGTGCTCCAGTTAAACACAGAAAAGCAGCAATAAAACTTCCAGCAGTCATGTGTGCATGTGGAATACAACAAAAGCCTGTAGTGGGACTTCCCATTTCCTTTTAGTACCTTCCTGAAGGGCCAGCTCTCGTGACTGTGTAACAGATGGTGAAGATGGTGGCTTTGAAGACAGGCTTGGAGCAGGTGACCTTACTGAGGACATCACAGCAGAGGAAGCAGATGTCCCAACTCCAGGCTTGGTAAATGGAACATTCTGGCTCACTGAGTGCACAGGCTGTGAAGAGTCAATGCCACCTGAAAACAACAGCAGAAAGCAGGAACCCTTTGTATGTACTTGCACAGACAATTACAAAGCACAAGCAATCACATTTGATTCCACAGTAACTACAAAAAACAATACAGTACTTCAAAGAGAGATGCCTTCAAACAAATATCTATGGAAAGACTGGTTGCTTTAAAAAATTCAATACCTACAGTACTAAAAGTCCATTATAATGAACAAATTGCTGTGACAAATGAAAAAAAAAAAAAAACAACAAAGAAAGCATGATATATCCCCACAATGCTGTGCTTTTACAAGTTACTCTTCCCAGGTAAGTGGAATGTAGTCCACCTGAAATACACCCTTCAGCATTCTTCCCATGGGAGGAAACCTTGTGCAGTAGACCTGTATTATGCCTCCCTTCCAGTGCTGGCACTTTGCAATATGGGTATTCAGTTATGAGACTCATATTCCAAGCACTCTGTTTCAATCAATGCTGAATACTCCACAAAACTTCTGATGTGTTTTAGACATCTGGACTAGATATAATCTGCTTTAAAAAAGGTCAGATTAATGCTTTGAGAGATTTGACATAGTCCAGCTGAAACTCCTATCAGACAAGGACAACATAACTTCAATTAAGTTAGCTCTCAACTAAGGGTTTCTCTTCGCTTATAAATTGAGAAAATCTGTATTATGATTCTTTCTAAAAAAAAAACCCTGACTGACCAAGCTGTTAAAAAGAAGAGAAAGGAAATGGTTTTACCAAAAGTACTCAGTAAACAAACACAGATATTAAGCAAGATCATAATTCTCCATTTGTAGAGTACTTGTTTAAGTTACCAAATTTGCTAGAGGATGTGGAGGTATTATTAACCTTGTATATATAGCATCTTCTGCACATATAGCTGTGTAGTTCATATGGCCATTGACTTTTCCTTGAACAATGGAGGTGATATTTCAAAGAACTTCATGGGCAAGTTGAAGTTTCCTTTAGAGGGTGAAGAAGAAGAGGCAGCTTAAAATGATCCTTCTGTTTTTATTATTTACAGCCAAAATTTACAGCACACATCTTTATTATCTTTAATATATTTTTCAATTTTAAAATCTGATGTTGAGCATACACATGGCTTTTTCGCAAGTCCTATCAAAATTGAAATGATGTCTTTTTCCAATGAACATACAAACCATTTTTTTACTGCAATGGACTTCCTATAACCTCTGCTTCTATGCAGTGTCCTGCAGATTCCTCATGGGAGCTTCAGAACTTGTCAGCAGGAATGCTCTTCATATAGCAGCTTCCTCAAGCAAGATATGCAAGATGACAAGGGAAGTGCTTTGCCACATCCACGTGCTCACCCAGCTTTTGTAGAGTTGTTTGTAGGGTGATGGTATTTTCCACATGCAAGCCAATACAGCGATGCTGGCAGCATCAAGCACTGCTGTAGAGAGCGTTAAATGCTGCAATGTCAGTGTACGTGCCCAAAGCCAAAACAAATTTACACCTGGATTAGCTGAAGATGTAATGCCTTCCTGCCAAGTACTAATATCTATTCTCAAGCAAAGGTTATCCAATTGCCTTCAAAATTATGTGAATCTTCTAAATGCATTGTAAAATAAATGTTTCTAAACTCTGAGAAATAAAATATATATTTTCTTCAAAAAATATCCAACCTGGAAAATCACGTATTAGACTTTATTTGGTGACTCCATAAAGGTTTTAAATTCTGTAAGCAACCAAGACCAAAGGAAACACTCAAACAAAATTAACATTTAAAACCACATTTCCTCACTTTCAATGTGTATTGAAGTTTTCCTTTCATGCCTCTCAACCATTAACAACTCTTGCATTAACAATAATCAAGCATAATGATCTACAGCTAAAAGACATGTTACAGAAAGAATCTGTAGAACTGGGGCAAATTAGCATTGTAATTCATCATTTTTCACTATCACAAAGTTGTAACTTAATTTCTAACTGGAGACATAGAGGTAATAGTTTAAAAGTACCACCACAGCATCTCCTCAAAATGTCAGAAGACATGTGAGAATTATTCTTCTCTAGTTGCTTCAGCTGTGGTCTTGATTTCCAGCCCTCACAACCCCACACATCCCCTTCAGCCATCACAACATAATTTCTAAGGAGTGAGACACCACCTCCCTGCAGCTTGTTTTCCAACAGCATCCTTTGCCCCTGACTTTCAGTACTAGCTGCAGTCCTTCCCCTTTTTTCAACCACACCTATATTAGCAGATTTACAGGATTATAGCCTACGTTCCTACGGAACTGGGGCAGCAAGGACTTTACATCCTGATCTGACATAAGGGGAAGTTTGCGTGTGAGATAATGAAATTAGAGTGTCTCCTGCTCAAGCAGACTGTCCACACCAGGATGCAAAGAAACCCTTGAGGTATACCCACAGGAGTCCTCCAGCCCCCTCTCCTCACAGAGAAGTACGGTAAAATTCAGGCATCCTGGCTGACATCCTTGCTAACTTGAAAAGTACCAAGAATAATGAGAGTGTTAGTTTTTCAGCTGAAATAAACTGGAAAAACATTTAATAAAGCTACTGCCCGAGAAAGACAAAAAACCAAAATAATACAAAATATGTAATTTACATAGCATAACATTCCTGCACAGATTTTTACCAAGACTGTTCTGCTGAAATAGAGATTTTAAAGATAAAAGAGTGATTTTTCAGAGTTAATCTAGTTTAAACCTCCAAGAAAAAAAATCTCAAATTAGATATTTATATTCTACTTTATTTATACTTCCTAAAGCAAAGAAAATTATTCTCATTGGCTATTACTCACCAAGTGCAGTCAACTACCAGCAAAAAAAAAAAAAAAATCCTTTTAAAATAAATCTGGTTTCTTCTAGTGAAATCTTAGCACACTTGCTGAAAATACTTCAGCTATTTCAGAAAGGGCCTGCTAAAGTCTTAGGAAAATACTTTATTGCAGTTCTGTGTCCTTAGTACACCACATACAGAAGTTAAGAGGTTTGATCTTAGTAAATTCAACATGCTGGAGGCTTTGCAAGGCTATACATAAAACTGGATTTTTAAAGAAACCATTTCAAGCCTAGTGGTGACAACTTTAATTGAAATAAAAAACAATTCAGAAATCAAACAACTTCTGAAAAACTCTTGCCAGCCTAAGCTTCCTGACTAAGTCCTGTTTGAACACACAGATTTTATTAACATATAATTCTTCTACATAAAGGATTCATTTTCATCACAGAGAGCTTTCAGTCCTGACTGTACAAAACTGCTTTGGAAAAATATATTAAAACTGTAGCACTCTGACTGGCAATCTGTCCACAATTTGCTTATTTATAATTCAAAGATTGTAAGGGCATCTTTCACAGGCAGATACTGTATCCAAGTTTCTTTACACAAACAGTCATAGAAAGCACGTTTATGAATTTCAGCAAATATTTTTTTCAAGTAGTTTAGCAAAAAACTATGCACAGAACAGATGGCAACTGTTTTCCATCATTGCTTCTTCCTAAAGAAAGCAGGAAGGATGAAATATTTAGAAAGTTTCCTTCCAACAGATCATTCATTATTTCCTTATGCTCCTTGTGCATTGTATCCATACACTTTCCAAGGATGTACAGGAACTGGTAAATATTTTTCAAAATCCAACTCCTTTTCTTAAAGGCTGAAAACAAATATAATACTATTTATAAAATTACTCCATCTGAGAACAGTAAGACTGCACTGGGAAATTTAGAAAGCATCTCAGCATCTCAAAACCAAACCAATTATACCAGGATCAAACACTTACAATAATTACTTTACAATTAAATTATTATGCGTTTATTTGTAATTATTTATGTAAGTATTTTACTATTGGGGTGTTGTAGCAACTGGATTTTTAATATATTTTAGCCAAAGATGTTGAATTCTAGATTAAAAGAAAACAGGTATCATTAGAGGCAGTTTGTTTAGCCACAGACATCAAAAATAGTTTAAAGTGTTCAAGGTTTAGTAATAAAACTGTCATGCTCTTCCTTCAGCCTTGCTGTCAGCTGTTATGTTTATCTGCTTTTCTTAGTGAGGAAAGACAGATTCATTTGTGTCCTGAGGTTGAACCAGAATTCAGGGGAAAGAAAAAAATTATTTTGCAGATAAATCACTTCCAGAAACCTGTGCACTGTGCAATGAAGCACAGGGCATGCTTCTATCAGCAGCTTTACAAGCCCAGAAAGAGTCTACATGTGGTGTAACTATTGAGGCCTACAGTCCGGCAAACCAACCAAGGACTGCAGTATGACCCAAGTACAACAAAAACAGTGGAACATAACTGCAAAGTGAGTATCCATGACACAGTATTATCACAACCAATTCTATCATTAGTTCCTTGAAGTCCAAGTGTAATATTACTACTTTTCCTTGAAACTGAATCACCCCCTTAAGAGCAACACTGAATGGTTCAAAAATAAAACTACTGCTCATATTGCTCTTCACTGTCTGGTCAGCACCACTGCTCACCTTTAAAACAGCTACTCATTGCAAAAAAATTTGCCATGAACAAATGACTTCAAGACACCTCTACAGGAAATAAAATTAACGAGCATTGGAATTAAAAACTTCTGTAAATAAAACAGTAACAGTTTGAACAAAAAATAAGTTGTTTTCATATGCCTACTGCATATTACGCTATTCTGGAAAGACACCTGCATTCTGTCAAGTCCCGCTGCACATTCTGCACTGAACAGAGTCAACTTTTTTGGCCAGTCCTTGAAAGAATCCATTTTTATGCATAACCATGAAATGCTGGTAACTTCAGGAGCTTTTCAAGGAGCTCCCTATTTTTCTTTTTTTAAATAATATTTTGTTTCATGCTTTGAAAATACTAGAGAAAAATACACAGAGCATACATCAGTACAGGATTCAAATCTACTAATATTAAATGACACTCTACCTCCTATTCTTGGGAGCGAGGGAACCAATACTGAAACTAAATTCAAACTGTGGATTGAATGAGCTTCATTTAAGCTTAATTGCTTTTCCCAAAAAAAGCTTTATCAAAGCCATATTCTTTCTTAATTCTTTCTTGGTCTGTTAAAATTTCAGCTACTAGGACTCCTAACACAGTTTCAATGTTACACTATAATCTGAAATATTTAGCATTAAGAAGGAAACCTACAGCTATGTAACATCTCTCTTTAGTAGAGAAAGCAAGCTGCAGTCTGCTTTCACAAGTCAAAACTGCATGAAGTCAGAAAATTCCCAGTTTAGAAAGAAAATCAGACCAAATCCTGCACAGACTATTGCTCTCTCCTCTGCAGAGCAAGATATTTCATCGGGAAGGTACTCCCACATCTCCAATCTCTTCCATGCTTCTCTAACCAGAAAAGAAAAAAGTATCTTTGTGAAAGATATTTCAGAAATAACATATTCTTTCAGAACTGCATGAAAAAGCTCCCTTCTGAGGCCACTCACATGAAAAACCACACAAATAAACCAACACCATCCCCTAAGTGGTGTATTTTTCTGTATCTCTCAATAGAAACAAATAGCTGCTATTGTGAGGACTGTGGTAACCAAATTAGAAAAGCTACAAGAATGAGTGACAGTACTCAACATTACATGTACACACAGTGAACATGAACAAGCCAACAAGAGCACAAGATTACTTGTATTTCCCAGAAATATCTGGCAGTTCACTATCTTTCAAGTAGCACCTTACCTGTATTTATTTGGTTGTTTACTTTAGGAACTGAGCCGGTGAGATTCCTGCTGAGGTTGTCTTGCACAGCCTGAGCAGATGAAACAGTAGATAATGTTGTATTATATCCCATGGGAACGTGCTGTTGAAGGGAATGAGGTACTGATGTACTCTGGCTAGAAAATGCATTTGTCTCTTTGAACTGTCCAACAGCAGGTAGACTCTGAGAGGTAAATGTCTGCCCATACACACCTCCAGCAGCCACAGGAGGATAGGAAACATTAGGATACATGGCACCAGAAACCACGGGCATAGCATACTGATCAGAATTAAGGGGAAATCCCTGAGATGCAACTGAAGAGCTGACAGAAGTGCTGTAGTGATTATCAAATGCTGAATATGACTGCTGAGCACTCACATGCAAGTAGGAGGCAGATGATACTGCTCCTTGAACAGGTCTGTCACTGGAGCCCCCTGAATGGGGAGGAGTGTTGTTGTACAATTGATGTGACTCCTGTGCATTCAACACGTTGCTACCCACAGATGTCATAACATTTTGTGCTGGTGCTGAATAGTAACCAGGGTAGTAACTGGCTCTGTACTGATTATCCAGATGTGAAGCAGCAGCTTTATTGGGCACTTGGGAATAGTGTCCTGAAGGCGCACTGTAGTTTGGAAGATGTGAGCCATAGCCAGAGGGGAACTGCATCTGACTCTGCATAGGACCTGAAATGAAGAGAAAACATCACACATATTAAAGGGGCATCTGCTAGTAGTCCCAATGGACTTTGCGCTTGAATTGCTTTCTTCTTTTCTATTTTTGAGTTTGAGTCTCATCAGCAGAGAGAGAATAAACCAAGAATGCACGCAAATACAGTATTTGAGTAATGCAAATACACAAAGAAGTAGCAGAAAAATGGATTGCTTCCATTCTTGAAAGAAGTTTCCATGCCAAGATTGTTCACCTCTTGTCTGTATTTTGAATGTTTTTAAGAGTTTATAGGAGGTTAATATTTAAAAAAATAGTGAGCAACCATAAGCACCAAACTGATATTTTAAGTGTTTGAACACAAGAGTTTGCCTTACAAGAAACTGCCTGATTATGGAAACTGAAAAGCTGCAGTCAAATCAGTACGTCAATACATAACAATATGGGTATTCTTCTTTACAAGTCTTCAATACAGTGACCAAGATAAAGAGTTGCCGGACAACTATATTTGTCTTCTATGCCTTATGTATTGTGTTTTCAGGAAAACAGATGTTTTATGAAATTACAAAGTATTTGACAATTGTCATTTGACGTCATTTTCATTTACTGCATGATACTCACATCAGGTGTAAGAGATGTTGGTATCAGAGAAACTGACCTCTGGTATCACTGCAATTGCTCTGCAACATTAGAGGTTAATTACATACTGGCCCAGCAAGGGTCAAACAAGTGCTTGTCTGCTAGAGACCAAATGTTAACTATATCCAAACTGATTTTCTCAGCCAACTGCTCAATGGGAAATCTCAAAGTTCTTCCTCATGAACCATTCCTTAACCCCGTTTTTATTTTTAGTGAACCACAGATGCTTCTCTGCAGATAACTTGCTTTCTTAAAATTCTCACACCCTATTGCTTACATCAGGCAGAATGACTACACCATTATTTCCCAGTCCCTGACCAATAAAAACATAAACACAACACTCGCCTACTCACAAATTAAATAGCAGCTGAGGTAATAATGAATAGTTGATTCCCCTGTTTATATTTACAATGATTACAAACCTTAAGCATTACTTCCCCTGTCTTGAAATTCTGAAAAATCACTGCTCTCCAAGGAACCTCTAGATGTCCTATGATTAACTTGCAAGGCAATGTTTATAATGAATTTGTTAAGAGTCCTAAAAGCAAGGAACATACTGCCCAAAATTGCTTTCTGGTAAAATTAAAAACGCCCTTTCATAACTGACAGGAAGTTGAGTAGAAGAGAAAGGAGCTAAAAATTGCAGAACAGTAACTTGGACTGCTGGATCAAAAGACAGACAGGCACTTGGGGGAAAAGCATAAAGAGCTTTAAAAAAATTATCTCGAGTTTTGAAGAAAGTATGTATGAGCTATGCTTCTGATTCACCTTCTTCTTGAAAAAGTGGGAGCTACTTTATAGAGCTGTGTAGTTTTTTCTCCTTTAAAGGAAAATGATTTTGAGTTAGCAAGCCATTAACAACTTTGCCAGACTTTTGGCCTGCTTTTTAAAGTCTGAAAAAGCAAACCCAAAAATACAGCAATAATTTACATGTGTCAAGGTTTATGGCTTTAAGCAGCTATGCCACCTAAGGTAGCAAGAAAAGATTTTTATTTGAAAATAAAATGTGCATCTGTTCTACTGATATATGCAGATTTAACTAACTAAGCAGGTATACCTTAGAAACTGGTTTAGGAGCACATGACTCCTAAATAAAAGGTTGCATATCAAATAATCTACTGCAAAGTCTTCTAGTATCTAGCTCTTGTTTCAAAATGCACACCATAAACAGAGATTAAATTACCAACACAAGATATCAGTCTCTGTATGATAGAATGCAGAGTCCTTTTTATTCACATTTTTAAGCAGAAATATCTATAAACACACAGATCAAAACCTCACTGAGACAGATAACATTTGAAAAATTATATTGATTTCAAAGCTGTAGGTCCTTTGAAAGCAAGTTTTACAATTACAGATGAAAGATTATTCTCATTATCTGAAGTGAGTTTTTTGTCCATTTGATTACAAAGATTGTTAGTCGAAAGTAATTTTTGTACTGCAATTAGTAGCTGAAGCTACTAATGGTGACTAGCTAACTAGACAGTCTTCAACACTGGAAATCAGAACACATCTTCAGTGTAATTTCAAAATCTGATTAATTGCACAATCAGTCACGATGTCTCAGGTCATCCTTCCAAAACACCTGACAAATATCTCAAAAAATTCCATAAAGAAGCTGAAAGCCTCAGCTGTACACAGCAGTTGTATCTCTGAAATATCATCTCTGCAATAAAAGCAGTGCACCTCTCCTTCTCCAAACAAATTAACACTTATTATATGAAGTATGCAATTATATAAAGTTACAATGTGTAACTACACAGACATTAACAGGTGAAACCCAAAAATCCTAATTCTTTTTAAGGGAGGGATGAGCCACAACACAAAAAACTCCAAACTCCCAGAAAAAAATAAAAGGAGTTGTGCTATGGCTATACCACCACGTGAATTAGTAAGGTTTTGTTTGCTAAGGTCACATTTGATTTTTATGTCCATGCATTCCCTCAGCAGCATAATTCAACCATCTGCCATATACCCTACCTACCCCATAGCATATGGATATATGCATCCATGAAGTCTATGGATGCTACACCACCAAACTGCCTTTCTATCTAAATCCACCTGTGAGCTTTCCAAAACTTCTAACCCCCCCATTACCCACCTCCAGAAAAGTCTCCCACAGCCTCCTCACATGTCCTTCACGCCATGCAGCAGGGGGTAAAGGCCCCTTGTTTACTGCTGGCAAACAAACCGGCGGATGAAGGTGGTGCTGAGCTCTCACTACAGCTCAGTCACACAACTGGTGTCTCCTCCTTCAGGAGGATTCACATAGCTTCCCATTTTCACAAAATATTCAGAGGTTTCCCATCTTTCATGTCTCTGTTCTCTTTGTTAAATTGACTAAAACTATCCTCAGTCTGAGGAGGGATGAAAAAGCTGAACAACATAATAATGAAAATTTTGCTTCCGAAATGCCAGTAGAAATACCAATGGCAGCCTTACAAACCAGCTGTAGACAGCACCAGAAAAAAATTCTTCTAAATTCTTCAATACAATTATTCTCTCAGGGCTGCATTTCAATACATTAAATTGTTAGTGCTAAAGTCCTCCATCACTACTGACGAAATACATCATCCTTCACTACTGATTTAACAAGAAAATTTATGTTATGCTGAAATTAGGAAATAGGTAATTTTCCACTTAGATACAAAGCCACTTCAAGACTATGAAAAAGGCTTCCCAAACTTGCAAGAGAGAAGGAAGAAGAAAATACCATACACTCAAGAGGTTACTTTTAAAAACTCAACAAAACAATCACGCCTAAATTTAACAAAAACTGAAGTCTCCAAGGATCTCAAATGGACTTGGTAATTGAACCAGGCAAAATTCACTAATAACAAACTTGAATATCCTTTTTAATATCACTCTATGTATAACAGGCTGCTTGCTTTCTGCAAAAGGCACTCTCTCTCATTAGATGGCAGCAACTACATAGTTTTGCCTGAAAAAAATCACATTTTATCAAATTAAAACATAAAGCACTCTAAAGGAAAAGATACAACAGTGTTTTCTTTCAGCCAATACAGAAACAGCTCAATTCACACCAGGATCTTATAGTTAAACTCCACTCCAGTGACATAAAATTAAATTTCAAAAACAGTGACAATCCTGTTCATGAAATTTAGTTTCTATCATACAGTACAGAACTTTCCACTAGTCTTTTGCTATTGCTATTCCCCTCTACTTCCTCTCCTATTTCCATCAAAAAAAACCCCAAAAAACAACCCCAAAACCTCAAATCCTGTGTTGTAACTTCAGGAGATTAGCACTCAGACAACAGACCAATCAAAAAATTTTGGAATGCCATTGCTAGATGTCACAAAATGAACAATTCAGGGTTATTGACTAATGTCATCAAAGACATCTAAAGGAACACAAAAACCCAAGTTATGCACTAAACATTTAAGACTGTTATTGAACAGTGTATACATTTCTCAGAACTAAAGAGCATTTTGCAGAAAATAAATGGTCTATGCCCTGGTTTTACACAAGCTGTTTCTATCAATATTAGCAGCAATATGGAGTTAATGAATTAAAACAACAAATAGTAACGATGGCTCTTTAAAATTATTAAGCTAAGAACACAAAGATAGAATGATGGCTTCTATTTGTTTCTGTAAAACACAGGTTATTCATGCTGTAGCAGTTGTATCCTGATAATGACATGTTTTTTGACTAAAAGCCATGTAAACTGTCATTTTATGAACAATTTTTACAAACCTCAGCATCACAATACCAGTCTGGATATAACTGAGGCATCAGTATCTCCTTAAAACTTAGCATTTATTTACCTTCCTTTTCTTCAGTGACTGCCTCAACACCTACTGTATAGGCATTTACGCGCTCAGCCCTTAACTACCCCTTTGGACACAAGAAAAATTCTCAAGTAAAAAATTTTGTAGGTCCCTACCCTGCACAGAAAACACACCTGTGCAGAAAATAGCATGACTACCAAAGATTAAACAGTATGAACTAGAACTCTATGCAAATAAGAGGCCAAATTCAGATACCAAACGAATATTACAAGGAGATTATTATATAGGCATTTTGAAGAGTTAACAAGGTGTGTCAATAAAGAACTGATTTTATAGCCACCAATTTAAAAATGCGGAAGTGTACAATCATCGCTTTCATTCATACTACAGTCACTATCGCTCCCTCCCTACCTGAAATGGGCACCAATATCTTGCGACTTCAAACTATTCTGCCTTTGTTTTTCAGTGACCCACATCTCACTGGTCCAGTGTTGCCAGTTCAGCTCAAATCCCAAGATCCAGTTGTGTGAACACCTACCCACACACAGCTACAAAGTGAGTACTCTCGCCCCTAATACGCGATTTTCTGCCCATTCTCACGCACGACAGCCCGCCTCGAGGCCTGGAGGAGCCTCGGCCTCCAGAGCCTTCCTGAAAGGCCACGAAACAGGCGCCACAACACCGGGCACATCCCAATCCGCGAGGAGATAGAGGTGCGGGTACCAATCCCCCCTCCCGGCCCCTCAGCGAAGTGGGAGAGGGTGCCCCTTCTCAAGTTCTTCCCGCACACAGCCGCGGGCCCCGCGCCGTCCCCGCGGTCCCGCTGCCTTTCAGCCCAAGGGCCTCGCTGCGCGCCGGCCGCATCGCACCGCGCCCGGGAGGACGGCAGAGCGCGCAGGGAGGGCCCGGCACCCTCGGGGGCCTCAGCCCCGCGGGAGCGGCGCGGCTCGTCCCGGGGACCCGCGGGCGGCCCTTCCCGCGCCGGTCCCTCACCGTTCTGGCAGCGCGGCGCGCCGCTCGCAGGGGCCGCGGCCTCCAAGGAACTGCCGGGCCCGCCCGGAGAAAACGCGGCGGCGGCTGCGGGCCGCGGCGGCAGCCCGGCGGGCGCGGACATGGCTCCTCGCAGCGCTTCTTCTCTGCGTCCCGCTCCCGCCCGCTCCTCTCCTTCCTCCTCCTTCTCCGCCGCCCCGATCCACCGCCGGGCGCCGAGCGAGGCCGGAGCCGCGGGAGGGCCCGAGCGCGCCGCCGCGGCCCCGAGAGCCGCCGCCTGCAGCGCCCCCCGGCGGCGGCTCCGCCGTGAGGCCGCGCCCCGCCCGGCCCGGCCCGGCCCGGCCGCGGAGGGTGGGACCGGCCCGGCAGGGAGGGTATGGCGGGCAGCGGGCGGGCAGCGGGTCCCGCCGGGGATTCTGCTCGCCCGGTGCCGGCGGGAACGGCCCGTGTGACGGGGAGAAACCCCCGGCCCGCTTAGTCTGTGTATGCAGGGCTCTGTGCCTCGTCTGTGACTCCGTGGGCAGGCCGGGGCAGGGCGAGGAGAGGGATGTGGTCCTGCCGCTCTCCTCGGCCTTAGTGAGGCACATCTGGAGTGCTGTGTCCAGTTCTGGGCTCCTCAGCACAAGAGGGACATGGAGCTCCGGGAGTGGGACCAGTGGAGGACAACAAAGATGATTGAGGGGCTGGAGCATCACTTACCAGGAATGGCTGAGCGAGCTAGGCTTTTTAACCTGGAGAAAGAGACAACTGAGAGAGGATTTCATTAATATATATCTAAATATATTTCTATATAGCATATAAATACTTCAACTAGGGATGCCAAGAGGATGCAGCCAGGCTCTTCCTTGTGATGCCAAACAATAGGATATAAGGCAATGAGCAGAAACTGATGCACAGGAAGTTCCTCCTGAACATGAGGAAGAATTTTATAGTGATTGTGCACTGGAGCAGATTGCTCAGAGAAGTTGTGGGGTTCTCTCTCACTTCGCTATCAAGAGATGCTCAAGAATAATCTGGATGCAATCCTATGCCACGTGCGCTAGGGTGACTCTGCTTGAGCAGGGAGGCTGGACCAGATGAGCCACTGTGGTCCCTTTCAATCTGACTGACTCTGTGAGGCTGCTCCGTGTCCCTGTCTCAGGGCACAGACATGTACATATGCAATACATGTCCTTATTTTGCCTGAGACATTTTTGTCTGTATAGATAATATATGCTATTTTAGGTATAAATGTACCCTGGAACACACAGAGAGGTAATTTGTACTGCACAGGGGAAAAGGCCTCACAAGGTGAGGTGAGGTGAAAGCTCTCTCTCTCTCTGTAATTATTCTTGTACAGACAGAAAAGCCTTAGTGAGATGGGGTGAGCTGAGGCAAGGCTTTTCTTTCAGTGTTAGGAGTGCTCACTGTATTCTATCAGTCTCCAGTGTGGATATATGCTATCTATTGAGACAGGCCTTCACAAGAAATGGCAAAGTGAGATAAGGGAAGACTTCTCAGTCTCTGTGCAGAATATATACTTCATATTCTCTAAACAGGAAGGAAAGTGCTGGGGAGCCTCTGCCATGGTTTAACCTCATCTAGCAACTGAGCAATACACAGCCCCTTGCTCACTCCCCTTTCTATCCGGCTGCAATGGGGAAGAGAATTGTAAAAGTGAGAAAACTCATGGGTTGAGGTAAAGTCTGTTTAATAGTTAAAGCCAAAGCTGTGCACACGAGCAAAGCAAAACAAGGAATTCCTTCACCACTTGCCGTGGTCAGGCAGGTGTTCAGCCACCTCCAGGAAAGCAGGGCTCCATCACATGTAATGGTTATTTGGAAGACAAACACCATTGCTCTGAATATGCCTCTCTCCCTTCTTCTCCCTCACCCAGCTCTATATGCTGAGCACACCACCACATGGTATGGAATATCCCTTGGGTGAGTTGGGATCAGCTGCCCCAGTTGTATCCCTTCCCAGATTGTGCTTGTCCAGCTCCCTCCCTTGCTGGTGGGGTGGTGTGAGAGGCAGAAAAGACCTTGACACTGTATAAGCACTGCTCAGCAGTAATGAAAACATCTCTGTTTTATGAGCACTGTTTGCAGCAAAAAGCCAAAGCATAGTCCACACTAGCTGCTGTGAAAAAAATGAACTCTATCCCCTGCCAAAACCAGCACATCCTTCCCCACTGGCTGCTGTTGACAAAGGATTTCTGTTCAGTTTAGCACCTTCCACAGTCTAAACCACACACTAAACCATTTTGATTTTGACTGTTTGTCTGTCTCTATCACCTATCATTCACTCAGACACTACTCAAGACTGGGCTATCTGCTCAGGTTTTTTAATTAATTATGCAAAATGTCAAAAGCGCTATAATATACTAGTGATATATATTGTCAATACTAAATCCAACAACACTGAGTCACCTTTACTTTTTGCATACATTTGACCAGTCCCTTCCCTGTGTGTTTGCTGCTCTTCCTACTGGTTATTATGCATGTCTGTCCTTAAGTACTTCTTAAATTTCTTTGCCTGTATGCTTAGCTTGTGGCCCAGCTCTGACTATTAGAATTATTACAAAGCACACAGGGCATCTTTTAATTCTGCAGTAATTGACTGTACTGGAATGTTTCTCAGCTTTCACATCCTATGAGACTATGTAGAGGTGTCTAGTGCTGGCCTCTATTAGTCCTTGGATTGTAGATCCATATCTGAAAGAAATAGTTTCTTTTCCATGACCTAATGAAGTAGGGCAAGAAATAATGGGCTCAAAATGCAGCAAGGTTCAGGCAAGCTATTAAGAAATAAACATTATTAGGATACTAAAGGACTAAGTGGCATGGGAATGGTGTGACATTGCTGTAATAGAAGGAGTCTTAGCAAGGGTTACACAAACATTTTGCGAATCTGACTGTCAACCAGCAAGTGACCTCCTGAAGTCCCTTCAGGGCAGTGTTGTTCTGACAGAGTTAACAAATTCTGTGATTAAAGTTGTTCTTCCTTCGTTGTAACCCTTGTTTTCCCCTCTGTATAACCCATACTCCGTCCTACACAAAGCACTTCTGAGAAATGATTGCATGACAGCAAAATAATTCAGATATGTGGACAAGCAGCTCATTTGTCTTTTCATTCTGAATGCTCTTTGAGAAGGTGTGTAACTGCTTCCTTGTACTACAACTGTATTTTGTCACAACATGCAGCACATATGAATCTGTGTTTTGACAAAGGTTTTTCCTTTCCAACGTCTCATTTCTCTAACTCCTGGTACTGTGAAACCATGAATACATCCTATATCACAATCTCTGAAAATTACACATCAATTTAGGATCAAGCAGAAGTAGTTATAGATCATTGTCCTAAAAGCAAGAGGAGGCAACTGGGAATTTTCACATTTTTTTAATGCTTTTACAAAACCTTTTACATGGCTTGATCAATTATTTTCTACAAACAACAATGACACTGTGGTTAAACCATTAATTTGTAGGAAATACAGATGAGTTGGCAGCTAGAGCACAATCCCCTAATGGAAATTCACCATAAACTCAAACCCATTAATTTCATTTTCCTCATTTATAATGAATCTGAAGGCATTAGCAAGAAATGAGTACTCTTGTCTGCTTTTTCTGCTACCATGCAACAAATAACACAAGAGCTGTGTTACCTAGGCCATTGCTTTCACCTAGTCTAGCAACAAGCTTATTACATGAGTAATACATTCTTTGGCCAGTTGATGGCTTGATTACTAACAGAGATATTTTGACCTTTGTTGGACACAAAAAAAATCCCTCTGCCATTTGGGTTTGCTGAACAAATGTGAAAGTGCATCTTGTTACCTCTAACCTGGTAAACGAAGCATTAAATTTCCAAACCTAGAAAAAAAAAGTAATTTTTATGTGGAGGAAAACCTAGGAACAAATAATTATAAACTGAGTCAGAAATAATTTCGAACTTTAGCATAACTAACCCAAGTTTCTTCTGCTTTGTCACACACTTCAGGGGGAGAATGACAAAATTAGGTGCTTTTATAACCTCCATCAACAAAATATAGCTGTGGGTCACTCTTACTAATAAATTTTTAATTATTGTCCTGTATTTCTAACATGAACTGGGCCACTTCAGTGCAAAGCAATAAGGCTTCACATTTCCAATTGCGTTAACATCATTGTGTTTGTGTAAGTTGCCTCTAGTCACTGCAGTGTGATTGCTTTCCAGAATGAGAACAGCAAATCAAGACTCTTGATGTCACCGTGAAGTGTGTCTCTGCTTGGGTGACCTCTACATTTGACTGACAGATAAATCCCTGCATCTACTGGGTGAGAGCTGTGCTATACTTCATTTGCAGCTGACTAATTAGCAGAAGAGGCCCCAGGGTAGTCATGCTCCACTTAAAATAAAAATCTTTCAAACTTCTAAACTCTTTCAAATATCACATCAGTTGTGATGCGGCTCAGTTTTCTTACATATGTACAGATTTACTTTTCATGTTATTTATTTTGTTAATTATCCAGATAACTCCAGAGGAGTTTTGCATCTCAGCAGTGAGAATGTTTGTCTGCCTGAAGCACTTGGCATGCATTATGGCTGGGTACACAAGACTGAACTATGCTTCATTTTTGTTTTGTTTTTTTGCCTTTCCCTTTTTTTTTTTTTTCCCTCCCCTGGGGTATTTATACCTGTAATGGAAAAGGCTCAAAAAGCAGCAGGTTCTACCTGGGCGTGGTTTCACCAGCTCTAAGGAAAACCTTACACATGCATACTCTTTTTGGACATCATGTTTCCCAATCACTATACAAATTATAAGATAAAAGGGTCTGCTACTACCAACATAATAGTGGTAACCCAGCTACTTTTGACTACATTGGCATCAACAACAGTCTAATTGTCATCATCCTAGGGAGGCTGTAAATGATGTAAAATAATTATTTAGCTCTTTGCTGAACCAAGGCAATGAGCTCTGCTAACTGCTACAGCTGATAGTTGCTGGTGATGGGTGTTGTCTCTGCTCATACTCTAGTCCATAATTTCCCTTATACCTCTTTATATCTGGATATATGACATAAATTCTCACTTAAATTGGTACTCCTGATTGGCAAATGCCTGATAAGCCTATTGAGTAAATAAACATATACATCTGTATCTAGGCTTGTAATATTCCTGGGTGGTTTCATCAGCTGCAAACTTCAGTCTATGGCAACAGTACTTAGAAATCACCAGGCAAGCTACCAGTAAGGAAGAGCCTCAGCTGTACCCTGAG